GCCTATGCGTCGCCTACTTTTAATGACGTTCTAGGAAATGCACTTAAGCGAACACACACTGACCTACAGAGAACATGTACCAGCTCTCCGACAAATACATATTGTTAAGTTCAGTTGTGTTAATTATATACAGTAAATTGAAGGGGAATAATTGCCAGTTTGTTTGTCATTTTTTATGCCGTCTGTTTTAAGTTTGTTGACAAGCTGATTTATTTTCCTATTTTTTAGAAATGTTATTATTATTTTGTTTAAATGCCCATTTTCTTTACTTTCCCACTTATAGGAATATAATTTAAGGCTTGCAGATTTTTAGCCAGACAAACGAAAACACCTCTTAACGGAACTAAAAAGTTGTAAAATGCTCAACGCCCTTCGAGCAACATGAAATAGTTTTCATGTGAACTTTTGAACGGGGCAAGTGGGGTGTCGTTCTTCTGAGCCAATTGCTTTTCTTAAAGTATTAGTATGCAATTCTTTTAGTCAAAGCGATACCTTTCGATCCGTTTATTATCACTCGATCCGAACAAAATATCACAGAAAATATGCAATTCTGCGGCTATTTATACACACAAACAAGAGAGAACGCTTTAGTCGGGTGCCCCGACTATCAGATACCCGTTACTCAGGTAAAGGGAGTGCGTGGGAGATGGAAATAGAAACTTTGATCACGCATAACTTTTTAACGAATGGTCCGATTTGAAAAATTTCTTCTACATTTCGATAGGTATTGATAAACAGAATAAAACTGCATTTTTACTTTTCCGAAATATTTAAATTTTTAAAATCGTATATAAGCGATTGTGGGCGTTAAAGGGGGCGTGGCATCTTTTTGAAACAAACTTGCGCTGCGTAGGAACTCCTAGAATCTGCATGCAAAATGACAATCTTCTAGCTTTTATAGTTTCCGAGATCTCAGCGTTCATACGGACAGACAGACGGACAGACAGACGGACAGACGGACATGGCTATATCGACTCGGCTAGTGACCCTGATCAAGAATATATATACTTTATAGGGTCGGAAACGCTTCCTTCTAGCTGTTACATACTTTTGCACGAATACAATATACCCTTTTACTCTACGAGTAACGGGTATAAAAAATGTGGGGATCAATTTGAATATACTAAATTTCTATTGGAAAACAATAATTTTTTGATTTCTCTATCTTCAAATATTTTCTTCTATCGAAGAAGGGAAAAAAACAAGAGCTGACGCATTTCAAAGTAATATGCCAAGTATCAATCAAATTAATACTAAAATTTGTAAAAATGAATTGATTAAATATTTTAAAAATTCAAAACTAAAACATCTTTAAAGAATTATTTGCAAATAATAATCTATTGATTGTTATTGTGATTTTTCACAATTAGTTATGCTTATGCTGGGTTTTTTTGTTTTTTGGCTTGGATTTATGTGATCGCTAATTTAAATGCGAATGAGAGGCTAAATTAACTAATTAGGAGTCGAATGACGCAGATTGGGTTTGTTTATCCCAAAACGAAACCCGATAAGCTTTCTCCATGGTAATTAAATCTACTCCTTGCTTCAAAATCCGAAGCATCGTAAATCATCGTGGAGCATTGTGCGTCGCTCATACATAAGAAGTGAATTGGCGTCAAATAGGATTCACAATTGTACTAACAAATCGGACAGCACTTGTGAAATGGGGCAAGTGGCGCTGTTTCCTGCGGTTGAGGGTCTCCTGGTGTGTAAATGGAACTCGGAATTCGACATCGGTGCGGACGTTGTCTTTGGGGGGTCTTCAGGGGGACAGCTCTATTTTTAGTACTGCTCAAGGACGGCAAAATATACACAGACAGACGTTAATTTATAAGAACGCAAATCGCGTGTGCCATACTGATATATACATATAAGAATTTTCATGAACGCAAAGTTTGGGAAGTGCATACAAAGGCCAAATATTTCTATGACTCAGCGGTTCTTTGATTTCTCCCTTTTATGCTGAAACTTGAAAGGAAATTGAGTTCATTATACACTTCTTGTTTTTTATGGGCTTCTGTATTTTGATAGCCGAAACATTACTTATGGTTTCTTATGGGCTAGCAAATTGATAAAGTGATGTGATTGTAAACAAAAATATAAAAGAAAAAGCGAAATATAAGTTCAGCAAAACATTGTGGATGGAAAACCCGAATGCCCAAATTAAATTAGCGATGTTGTTTTTATCGTTGTGCCTATATTAATCTCTTTCAGTGAGAACCGGAAATGTTCGTTTTAATAACGCAGCGTATACGTAATTTGCGCAATTTGTTCCTAATATTCAGATTGAAGCGGTTTCAATGATGATAAGTGAAATCGAAAGGTTCAACAAGATTTTAAAATTGATGATTAATGAATTATTATAAATAGAATTGCAAGTGTAAGGAAAGTAAAAAATATAAATTGATAAGTTCAAATACCATGCCAATTACCCGTTTATTAATTAAATTACTATATTGAAAAAAGGGATATTAAAGCCCGAACGAAAATCCCTGACCTGTACGACGTACGCGTAACTTTTCACACACTTCATTGATTTAACAAGCCGGTATCCTGTCCCCAATGGATATCTGTAAAATTTATGCTCGGTTTTGAGTGAGTTGTCAAGCTCAGTTAGATGCTCTCATGTTATTCAAAAATTTCATATTTACGCTTCAGAAAGCATTAATAACGCCAGCTCACAACATCATTATTCAATGTCAAGGCAGAGCCAGACTAGAAACACTTTGCACTCTCCGTGCATTATTTAGCACTAACTTGAGGACGACAGGGGGTCCATGTAAATGAAAAGGAAATACGAGAAGGCCGGGGGGCGATTGGGTGGAATATTGGTCATGATATGCCTCAAGGGTAATTACAGGCAGACGGGACTTTGTCAGCTGGCGGCTTAGCAAATCCATTGTAATTGTAAATTATTAACATGGCCTAGCATAAGTCATTACGAGCCTGGGTAAATATAATTATTGAAAGAATACCTAACATCACCGGTGGGGATTACAAAGAATGATTCACTTAGCTGGAATTATTAAATCAATAAAATTATCAATCTCATTAGCATGAAAGCTGAAAAAGTTTTTTGCCAATTCGAGCGGAATTTTTCCTTCCATTTTGTTTTCAATTTTTTTGTGAAAGTTCAAGGAACTTATTGCCGTGAAAGGAACCAAAGTTTGGATGTGAATTTCGCACTGATATAAATCGTTGCCCGTTAGCGTGATTTAAATGTCTGTCAGAACAAAAAACCAAGGTCCTGGCCACTCCATCCTCTGGGAAAACGAACAAAGGCGAGTGCAATTCCTAAGCTGGGCAGTAATGACAGAGAACAACTGCAGCGTCAACTTTCTTTGCTTAAATGAGAGTATTTGCCGGCGCCGGCTCTAAAAATCAATATTTGGAGTGAGGATATAAGGAGTTGCAAAGGCAAAAACTAAGAGTAATAGCCAACATTCATACTCTAAAGGCTCTTTAATTTTGTTCAGTATTAAATATTAAATTGCAAATGTTTGTCAATACAAATATTTTGATGTGTATTAATTTCAATGAAATTTTTCATTGTTTATTGCAAAATAATTTAATAATTTTAATTATTTTAAGGAAATATATAAAATGTTATTAAAATAAAATGAAAGACCGATACCAGAAATGCAATTTTCCGGAATAATATTGACAAATACATTTTGGTTGGTATTTTTCTAGCACTGTGAAGGTTAGACCACGGGGCGTATGGGTAATGCAGCAAACCACAAAACCTCAATTGGTTGGGCATGACGACTCCGAATGTTTTTTTAATTATGAAATTAATAAAGACAAATAGAGCTGCCGGGGCACTAATTGACTCACCCAGAGATGCGAATCGAGGTTGACCCAACACAATCCCTGGTTATGAGCTTCCAGTTGCCAGGACAACAGTTGTGGGAACTACAGGACGAGTATATCCTAGGGCAACGCCGCCAGGACCCTCAACGTCTTGGGGCAATAAACGAATGCAACGCCAGGGGTCAATTTAATCGAGCCCGGCATCGCGTTCTTTGTCCTTCGTCCTGCGATGTTGATACTGCCAATTCGCGACGCTAACTGAACCCAAAAATCGCCAGCAGGAGTCAACCGCTTGCTCAGCCTCTGCTCTGCACTGTGGAAAACGAGGCAAGCGAATGAAAATGTACGCCTGTTGTATTTTCACGATACCGCCATGTGCGCGTAGCAGGCGGTCAAAATCAGCTGAGAGCGCGCACGCTTTTCTCGAGTGACGTCACTGTTCGCTCGACTCATGCGCAGCCAGAGCGAGAAAGAGCGATCCGAGAGTGAGATACTCAGATACTCGTATAGTCAGATACTCACATACTCGTATATATATATCTGTATCTTGAGGAAGTCGCCTGCTGTGGCGCCGAGTGCTTGGCCCAAATGCATGCTTGTTGCGCCACTTGGAGCCCCCTCACCACCCCCCAGGTGCCGAAAAGGGGGTAGTTCTGGCAGACCAGGGATGGCTAACGGCGTCAAAGAGCGCTACATTATAAAATGTCGGGCATATCGATTATAGAAATGGAGGATGAAATGTAAAATGGTTTAATTCAAAATATATAAGATTCTTGCAGATAGCTGATTTAATTTTAATAAAAATTAATGTCTGCAAGGCAGGGGAAATATAATTATATATTAATACTTCTGATAATGTTGGTTTTCTGTTTTGAAAAATTATAATATAATATTAAATAACTCAAATACTTATGAGCTAACTAACCAACTTTTTTAATCTAAACTATTCAGTATTTGCGAACTATTTAATCAAATTGTTTATTATTCGTTTTAATATTGAAATTTTGATTTAAAAAACTATTTAAATTCCGGTTTAGATTTTGTTCTAAAGTTTCAATTATAGAACAAGTTTGAATCAGCTTAATGGACAATTAGTTTCCTCAAGAGCTGGGAGTGTTTTATTAAAACCAGATTCGCAATATTATTATAGTGAAATCAGAAGTCAACTAAAAAAGATTCGACAGTAATTTATGTACACCAATATTTGACTATTTGTTTATTTATATAATCAACATTAAATAGACATTTCAGTATATTAACAACAATGTACAAGTCAATGAATGCAATAAATACATATATAAATTGTATGCTATCTAAAATAAATGTTCATGTACAAGTCATATGAGAGCCTGAGAATTTTTTACATGAGTGGGAGTTATCCCTAAAGAGATTACTTTTTACAGTTTATGATATTGAATATTTTTTTTAAATATGCTAATTGTGCTCGTTTTTAGATTGGCACTCACTTGGGCAGCATTAATATACATATATACGCTCTGTATGAGTCACTAATAAGTCATTTGTAATGCATGTCATAGAAAAGGATCAGCTAGAAAAACAATTACGTTGCTTTTAAAAACAAATAAAGCATGAGTAAAGCTTGTAACCAAATTGCAAATCGATTGCAAAAATATTTAAATTTCAATAAAAGTCAAAGCTAAGGCCTAATTAAGTGACTGAAAGGAACATTCATAACACAATATTAATCACTGAGATTTTTGTGCACCTCTTCTAAACAATCTGCACCGGAGATGCCGGTGATGGGATTTTCGCCGTGTATAATGACATCCATTTCTATCTGAGTGAGATTTTCAGTGAGCAGCTTTTCAAGGTTAATAAACTTGGTATTTGGCTCTTGAATTAAGGCAGCATCCATGTCTTGGTCAACTGGCGTCTGAAGTACCGAACTTGTTCGCTTGGCACGCTCTAGAAAATTCGGAAAATACGATTTAAAACAAGCATACAATTTATAAAATATTAACCCCATACCGGAACGAGCTCGGTGAGCCTCCTGATCGATGATAATCTCATTGGTCACATAGACTTCGCGTCGGATTTGATCCCGCAGCTCGACACTCATGTCCGGAATGCACCAACGCACCAGTATCATCACCAGTGCCACAAAGTTCTGAAAGCAAAAAGCAAAAAGCAACACATCAATGTTAAGGTAGCCTTTCTCACTAATTTATGCAAAATATTTCATCACCACATGCCCCCGATTTACCAAATATTTTCCATGACGCTGATACCAAATTTTACCAGAAGCCTTGGAAATGCCAACTTTCCAGTCAATTTGCAGTAAATCCAATAGACTAAATACAGCTTAGACAGGTGGTAGCCTCAACCCTAATATATGGGGTATTGGGAACGTATTCGTTCAGATCTATTCAAAAAAGAAACCCCTTAAAAGGAAACCAGCACAGCAACACACCATAGAACAAACATGCAACACATGCAACATATTTCCCTCAATGGACTTTGGATATTTGCAGCATAAGAAAAGCAGAATGTCGAGAAAATGAAAGTGAAATGAATGAAATAAAACGACAACTAAATGGATAATTGGCCCTAGTTCTACTTAGAGTCACAAATTTTAGTTTAGTAGCTGTGAGCAGCTCGAGGCAAACGGTCGTGTCAAAAAAAATTAAATATAAAAAAAACAATAAGAAAGAATTGAACGTAAAGATATCAAAGGACTCTTAAATACAATAATCAAAATATAAAGGATACCGAAAGAAAAATTTATTTAATTAAACCGCGTTTAAAATGAAGTATTTTGAATTTTTAAGTCTGTCATCTGTGGGTCTCAGCATAGCTTGTGGAGACTTATTGGTAGCTCTTAGCATACTTGGACCATCAAGCTATTACTTGTACTTCGATTTCATAAAAATCGAAAACTGGGATCAGGATAGCGAAGTGGAAGCATTATCTCCCCTTGGAACCTTTTTTTCTACATTAGGTAAATTAGCAAAAATAACAAAATACAAATATTTTCTAAAACTGAAAAATGGCAGTGAACTATTTGTGGGTTCGAGAGTTTTCGCAGGTTTTCTACATGACAGCAACGTTCATAATATGGGTAAAGGCATCGATAAATCTAATGGTGGCTGGCCTTCTTATCGATGGCATCAAGCAGGTAAAATACGTCGCATTTTTCAGTTAAAATACATATCTTTAACTTGGTATTGAAATACTGAAAGAAACGGCTCGTATGCATTGCTCCCTGGTTGATAAATTCTTGCCTATCCATGGCCATAGAAACGGGAATTTTTGTGAGTCTAGAGCTTAGAATTGATGAAATTGATGCGGCTGTGGATCGTCGGATAGCAAGAAGTCTAATCTTTTGCGTATTTATAGGTGGGTTATATTGTGATCTAATAACTGTGTGATTACCAACTTGTATATTTTAGTTCTCAATGCGCTATTTTCATATGGTATCTATGCCGTCTACCGGAAGCTAAAGTCTGCGCCCAGCGAGAATATCGAAGTCATTCCCCAAAGTCCCCACACATTCAATGCCTAAAACTATTTGGAATCCTAATAGTCATTTGTTGATGAATTTGTATTCTGGCATAGGTAAATAAAACGAATTCGAAACCAAATAGCAAAAGGTGTTTATATATATACTCAACTACAAGATATAAAAAAAATTTACTCACTTCGAAAACCACAACGAAACCCAACCGGCAAGCCAAAATTATATAAAACATGCTGCTCAAAGTATATTTTTCCGGTGATGATGGTGGTAATCGAAAGTCAGTGTATCTGAAAAGTAAAATCAATTAATTGATAAAGTTAATAAAAATAATTTTAGCACTTAACTTACTTGCATGATGTTATGTTTGAGAGATCGCCAGCTAAGCTGTTTAAGGTGGGTGAATCAGCGACTCTGAACTCTGATAGGGTGAAATTGAGATATCCATCTAGAGTACCATTCTTATTGACATAATGGCGATACACCAAACGCGGGATCATGTCAGAGGTAAAGGCAATGATGAATCCCTATAAAATTAGTAAATTATTATAAATTTAAAAAAATTGTTTAAATAACACATTTTTACTTACATTTGTGATTACGCTGAGCTTGCCAATGCAGTCCAGAATTCGATACCACACTCCAATATCTCGAACTCGCTGCGAAACCGGACGCTTATGGTGAGTTAGTAGTTTCTTGGCATCCAAACGCATTTCCAGGATATTATTGAGCAGGGCAAAGAACGGGGCCAGCGGAAAAGCGGCCACGAAAATGGTCACAAAGCCGTACTGCAAGACCATCTCCAAGTACTCGGGAAACAGGCCTCGAGCACCCCAATCTAGTAGCTTGAAATCTCGCATCCAGCGTTCGTCTTTCGTCTTATCAGGACTCGGGGTGTTGTTAAAAAGTCGCGACAGGCCAACCTGGATGGCTAAGACTCTTCGCCAGAACATGGGCAGATACACCTCAAGAATAGTGTTGAAAGCCTGTTTTCCCACCATTATAATGGCTAATTGGATGCACAGCTCCGTTAAACAGCCGCCTGAAGAGCACTAGAAAAATTGAACAGTGTTTGATGAATTAATTATGGGTATAAATTAAATTTAAGAACTCACCTCCTCCTGGCGATAGTCAAATATTTTGTTATACTGCCCCGGATGACCCACGAATTTACCCTTAAAGAAAGCTATGTAAAAAATTGAGGCATAGTAGTTGACAAACTGTAGTAGATAAATCTTAAGAGTCAGGGAGTCATCAAATTGGGTTTGGGTGCGCCACATTTCTAACTCAGTTAGGTACTCAGCCAATTTATTGTACACCTAGAATATAATTAAAGTCAGTAGAAAATAAATGAAATCGTTTTTTCGTCACTTACAAAATTAAGTATGTAGAGCAGGCACAAATTAACAAAGGCTGCCGATGCAGTGGCGAGGACAATGGCACTCGAGGTGGTCAAAGGACTAGCACCCACTTTAAGAGCTGCCAGCATGGACATTCGATACACAACCACGGCCAGGAGAGCCACAAATGCCAAGGCAATGAGCAGCAGCACCACTGAAAAGCTGAATACAGTGGCTGGGAGCTTCATGCGCCAAAAAGGAACCGTTGGCTCTTTTATATTGGTAACATAATCCACTCTCGTTGGAGGTATGTGTTCCAAACGGGCCAAGTACTGCGGCCTTGGGTGCTCTTCATGCACATCGAATCCCGTCAGATCCCAACGATGTGTTATCTCGGCGGAGTAGCGCTTCCACAACTCGAGGAACAGGGTTGCCCAAAAGGACATAAAAACGGCGAAGAACACTGTACTGGGATTGTCAATAAGGTACGTGACTTTGGCATAGTTGCAGGTCTCTTTTAGGTCCCAAAAATTGCACCAATCGCAAAGGGGACACATTGTTATATTAGTATTATCACTCTGGCAAATATCTTTCCTGGAAAATAAAGGAATTTATTAGCTAACAAAATAAAGAATATTTGTTAGGGAAAACCTACACAGGCACGTAGTTCTTTAGGGAGAACCAGGAGTATAGGAAACAAATTACACCCACTATTGAGGCCAGCAGCAACATGTAGGTATAGTAGCCTAGCCAGGCAAAGTACAAACCTAGATGTAGTGATTATACGTCATTAAACATTCATTATTTAATTTTAACTAATGTAGCTCACCAATTTTAACACCAAAATATTCCTTGATGTCATCGAATGGTTGATAGCGATACCATTTGTAAAGAGACGCCCAATGTTTGTAGAGCAGAGCTCGCATGGTACCCGTCTCTGTTATTTCACCCTGGGCAGAGATTAAAAAAGAGGATTTAGGTATATGACATTATGTAAAGTTCATATTTTACCCACATCATGTAATGGATAGGCAGCAGAGTAGACGCTATCAGCAATCAGTCGCTCAATACCAAAGGCGTGTTGATTCTTGTCCGGAAATCTCTGGCGATCCAGGATGAACTCTACGATGCGGGAACGGACGGCGGTAGTAAAGAAACAATCTTGTCGGATGTCAAAGCTGGCGGGAAATAAATAATACAGATTAGTTTGCATTCAAATTCAAAATATATCAATTTGGACTCACAGGTACTCCTTATCGCGACTGTAAATGGCGGTAAATCTATGCGCTCTTTTCGGAAAAATATTTTCATCCACATAGATGTTTCGCAGGAAGAATTGGAAAACCGTTTTGAGACTAAAAAACACGCTTTTGGTCGAGCGATTAACCACGGACATGCCTGGTATCTGAAAGCGTTGAAAAATCAAATTAAAAAGTGCCGATTAAAGTGGAATAAATAACAAAAGGCAAGCTGCATTAATAGCTATATATTCTCTTTAATCTATTATGGTTAAGATTGCGATTTAGTTTGATTTTAAATAACTCACAGCAGAAGCTAAACGAAAAATAACAATTTAGTATTTTAGGGTATTAATAATAAATATTTAACTGGTTCAACGTTTTGGCCAACCTTATTGGTCAGGTATTGAGCCGCATTTCGTAGACGATTCGATCTTTCAAATATGAGCAAATTGCAATAAGACTAAAATCATAGAAAATATAAAATAAGTAAAGAGTAAACAAGAGTGAAATGCAAACTAACTTTTATATAAAATGAATATAAGGAACTTTTTTAAAGGGGCCTAAAAGTATGTATTGATTTCGGTTTGAGCTTGTAATACAAATTTGGTAGACTGACCTCTTTCATAGGCATACGCAGCTTTAATATTTCGGCATACCGGCGCAGGACCTCCAGAGGAGCATGGATCTGAAAATATAAAATATATATTTTATGTAATTTTTTTAAAACCAAATTCTCACCTTAACGAACCAGATTTGATCCTTCTGGCTGGTCTCGATCTCCAGTCCCTGGCTTATGAGATTCGCCTCGAAAACGCTCCGTTTATTAGAGTTTTCCATCTCCGTGGGCTCATGGGCACTGATTCTGTAGGCCAGCACAAAGTCAATGGACCGAATGCAGTCCTTGAAGAACAGCGAGGCGTTGATCTTGTCCCGCTGGTAGAACTCCTTGGGACAGCTGCACTTGCGATCATCGTGGACGCCGCCTTCATTGCCCGGCAAGTCGGGATCAGTCATTGGCAGGAGGGGCGAGGCTGGATTCGATGGGTTGGTCCTGTCCCCAGTGGGCTTTTTGCCATTGGCCCGGGACTCGTCAGCGTCTGGCAGTTGGAGCGTGGAGGCCTCACTGGGGAATAGAATAATTTTAGGGTTAGATAAGGTTAATTATGTTAGTTACTCAGATAGATAATGTTTAAGGTAAGTGTCATATAATACACATCCTACGCAAAGGTAAACGTCTGTGTGTTACCTAATATACCCGGATAAGAAGAGGCGAAGATTTAAAGATATATTAATATGAGAAAGACATACACCAAATGTACGAAAAATATTAATACAAATAAAATAAGATTTGCTTCACAAAATGCGTTTCCTATAAATATTTGTATAATATTATTATAATGGTATGAAAATAATTAAAGCTGCCTATAAAAAAAGAAAAATTACTTTTTGAAAAAAAATTATTTTAAGAAAAATAATCTCGATCTTCGCCTTTAACCCAAGAATGCTTTCAACCAGTAAAGTTAATGCGAAACAGTTTGAAGCCAGTAAACGGTAGCAAAACACGTTTAATTTTTAGGGTGGCGACTCCTGTCGTGCGGAAAGCTCCTTATGGGACGCACATCCCATAAAATCCCCTATAACATATTTAGGTCACCTCAAGGGAGAGCCAAAGCTACTGGAATTTAACGAGCTGCCCTATTTAATGATACTTTTACGCGGGGCATTGTAAGCGTACAAGATGACATCAGTTAACATTAGCTCTGTTTATCCCAACAATTAAATGATTAAGCAGTGTATTTATTGGAAATAAGAAATCTTAACATATGTTCGGATTATCACAGGCTCGGGAGCAGCAGCTGACTTTGGCTTGAAAATGAGCTTTTAACAAACAATATTGTATTACATACAAACATTTGCTATTTATATGCTAAAAAATAAGGCTTCATGTGACTGACTTCTGTTCAATTTTGCTAGATGAGAAGTATCTAATGATTCATTGGTTTTCGATAAAGAATATTATAAACTTTAAAGTGCAAAGGAATGACGAATCTTTGTGAATCAAAGTGCACGTTTAGAATTATATCGTGATGGAATTAAATAAATAAGTAGTAAAATTATATTAATTAGTAATTATATTACTTAAAATAGTTTATTCATTTTACACAGCTGATAAGCACTACGGCAGACCGTCTGGCAATAATCTGATTTAATGTACTGCCTTAACCTTACCGCACTAGCATATATACATATATAATCCAAGCTATGTATATGAACCAACAAAGAACGTTTCATATGCTTTTTAGCTCCCAGCAATAAAATTAAAAAACTTCATAGCTAATTCTTTAAGAAATTTAATGTTTGTATTATTAAACATAGAATGCAAACCTAGCAAACCTTTAAACCTTTTTTACTTTACGAAAGATAAAGAAAAAACCCGAAAAACATGTGAAACTTTGACTAAACTTCCCCTGATTATACATCTTATTCGCTGATTTTTTCACCTTTGTTACGTTCTCTTTTGTATTATTGTTCGTCCGATCATTTTAGTTCATCAAGCAATTTTACACTTTTTCGGCCTTCGCAGAACTCATAATTATCTTCTTTAATGAAAACTTAAATTCAAATTTACACACAAACGGTTTGATGGTTTTTTTTTCTAGGCCCACACATTGAAAATTTCGGCATTTGATTTAATCAAGGCCAGAGAGTAAGAGAGACATTTATTTATTAAACATGTGTGGGGTTTTTTCGGATATTTCTGCAGCGGCGAAAGGTGGCAGAAAATGACTTATATAATTAAAATGTTAATGCTAAATTGCCTCAGATCACATGTATGTATGCATTCATACAATAAAGGCTTATTCATCCGCACAGATCATAATACTTAAAGTCCACAAAAAACAATAAGCGACACACATATTATCTTTTGGTTTTCTTCCGAAACGATGATTAATGCCACAATATACACGGGAAACCCGTTTCTGTGAAAGGTGATCGAATTGTCTTCGGTTACAGAACTTTGTTCATGACCTACCAACTGATTTAATCACATTTACCGCGGAAAAGTCTTTTTCGAATTTTTCACCTCTTGTCCGAGCAAACTTTTAATAAACACTAAATTAAAGTCCACGGACGTTGGCAATGGCAACCAACAAATAAGTTTGGAGAGCCAAAAAGCGGCGACCAACGCGCAACAGCAACGACAACAAACTGAAAAGAGAGAGGCCCCAGCTGAGTTTTTACCGGGTGGGGGATTACCGACACAACCCGCTTGGGATTACCTACTGTATATTACCCTTAGTCAGCTGTTTCTCTGCGAGAGGAGAGAGCTTTGAGCACATGTTTACTTAAGCCCCAGACACCGACTGATCATTCAGATGTCAAGTGCATTGTACCCACACATGAGCAGGCTTATGTGTAAATAAAAGTGTATACTATAACTGCGTGCTTATTTAAAAGAGAGCAGGGCATATTTGATTCCTATTTCCCAGTTGGGAAAATAAATTCAATTATTTAAGATAACAAATTGCCTTGGATATGAATTGAAACTATAAAAAACTAATTATCCTTATGGGTAATTATTCCATTTCCTATGGAACAATCATAATAGTTGATAAGTATCAAAATGTTGGTATTGCAAGTCATTAAATTAACTGAAATCATGGCTAACCAAAAATATAAGACACATGAGAGCAATCAAAGCAAATATTGACAATATAAACAAAAAATCGCACTTCATGTGTATGGGCAAATGTACTTTTTCAGCTAGTGCTATGTTCTATAGTCCATAAATAAAAGATAAGGTTGACAGGGTCCTAGGAAATTGAGCGCAATATTTGATTGATTTTTATATGAAAATGTTAACATTTGTGTATGATGTTAGTTTTAAATTAATAATTTACGCAATCGTTTGAATAATTTACTTTAAAATATTGTTGTTAAAATTATTTTAAAACACATTATTCTCTTTATTAAAAAAGAAATGGTTTCGCAGTTTATAAACTCAAATTAATTAATTATAAAACCCGGCATTGCAGTTGGTAACAATGTTTTGTATTTTTGTAAAGGAGCTATTTTCAAAAATAATTCGAAAACATGCTTTATAAATATATCTTTTTCCTTAGACATTTTAAGAAACAAACTTTGATGACAAAGAGATACAAAAATTATTGCATTGTATGTTTGCCATTTATAATTAAGCCTGTTACATTTTTAGACACCCTGTTTTCGAAACAAACCAAACTCAATTATAGAAAAATGACAACCAGAAGCAGACAAGTGCAATTAACTTTAATGGGCACTTCCTCGGTCCAAAAAGGTCTCAAGGGGGTTTCCCGCTCTTTTTTGCTTTAAGCTTACCTTTCCACGTATCTGGCGATGTTAAGTGATTCACGCGATGATGATATTTTCTCCTGATCCACGAATCTCTGGGATCCCCTTCCCCCCCAGAAATTCTCCTTTCCCTTTAGCCGCTCGTGGAGATTGTGCCGTTTCATTAGCTCCATGTCGAAGGGGGCGAGGGGGGTGGTGAAAGGGGGTTCCAAGGGAACTACGGATGCCGGGGCACTCCTCTCCAACAGCTGGAAGCTTTCGTCCTTGGAAAAGGGGGGTGGTGACGGGAACTCCTCCAGATCGGCCACTTTGGCATTGCCTAAATTTAGCATCTTGCTAGCGAGCGACTTTTAAATTTAGCCAAAATACGACTCGGTCTCCAATCTTCCTCTTCTTCGCTGCTTTCACAAGGCATCTGCGTCTGTGTGCGTTAGTTGCCAAAATTCTGCGAGGTCAACACTCAACTTTCATCTCTGCCGCACTTGTTAAACTACTAACTAATATCACATCTAATTATTGCACTTTGCACTACGTATTATTTTCTAGCTACCAACCAATTTCCGTTGGCTTAACGGTCGAGAATCCAGAGCGAAAAGCCGTTTTTGTCAATGAAATAAACTACCACTGATTAACGGTGGGGGATTTCCAATTGACTCACGAATACATATCGATTTATAAGCGCGTAAAAAGGAATCGAGTACCAATGCAATTTAAAAGAAAAGTTACATTTTCTACAGATAACCGGTAAAAGTCTAATCATTATGCGTGATTAGCAAATAAGTAAAGGTCGAACATAAAAAAGAGATCAGTAATAAATTACTAAAGATTTCAGGTGGTGTGGAACTATATTCGGTTCATTTTTATATTTCGATACTTAGGCGCGCAATTTGAACTCGGAATATTTTGATAACACTTTTAGTCAAATAATTTAATAATTTCACTTTCGTTGAACCTTTTTAAAAATACCAATTTGAAAATAAAACCTAATCAGCATTTACTTAATTTGTTTATTTTTATACCCTTGCAGAGGGTATTATAATTTTGGTCAGAAGTTTCTAACGCAGTGAAGGAGACGTTTCCGACCCCATAAAGTATATATATATTCTTGATCAGAATCAATAGGGGAATCGATATAGCCATGTCCGTCTGTCAATCTGTCCGTCTGTCCGTCCGTCCGTCTGTCCGTCCGTCCGTCCGTCCGTCTGTCCGTCTGTCCGTCTGTCCATCTGTTTCAATACCGTTTGCAAGCCGGCCGTCTGTCCGTCCGTCAGTCTGTCCGTCTGTTTCAATACCGTTTGCGAGCTCAGTTCAAAAGCGGGGGATCTGAAACCGCCTCGATCGGATGACTATATCCTATAGCTCCCATAGGAACAATCGAATATAACTTGCAAGAATGGAAGATATTTCGCGCAGTGTAAAAGCTTTTGACATAAATCTTTCCAAATCTTATTTTTTATGCGTACCTTGATCAGGGTAAAAGCGCGTGGCGATCGGTTAAAATTTATATAAGCAATTGTCATGAATCTTTCCAAATCGTATTTTTTTATGCATACCTTGATCAGGGTAAAAGCGAGTGCCGATCGGACGTCTATATCCTAACAATAGGGTGTAATCGGTTAAAATTTAATGATTTTTAGGATATTTCGCACAGTATACAAGCTATTGTCATGAATCTTTCCAAATCGTATTATTTTATGCATACCTTGATCAGGGTAAAAGCGAGTCAATCGGACGTCTATATCCTTTAGCTCCCATAGGAACCATAGGTTGAACTCGGTCCAAGTTTGATGATTATCAGATTCGCGCAGTGTGTAAGCTACTGACATAAAATTTTCCAAGTCTTATTTATTTACGCATATCTTGCTTAGGGTAAAAGCGCTTGCGAAAGTATCCCTTTTTTTCTATTTTTATATGACATTTTTGCAGTATAAAAATAATGCAAACGATGCAAATCTAGTTTACTTATGTGTACCTTATTCCTTTCGCTACATTTTCAGTTCTAGCAATTTCGGCAAAGTCTGCAAGGGTATTAAAACTTCGGCTTGCCGATGTTAGCTTCCGTCCTCGTTTTAATTAAAATAAATACAATCGCAACATCATTGTTAAATGTAGGTTACAGAGCGAATTTTTCTTAATATTTCCGGTTAAAAATAATTTTTTATTATAGATACCGCATAAATATTACATAATTAACAAGTGTTTTTATAACAATATTTTATTAAACTCAATACATTCAAAAATCTTTGAATTTCGTTTGATTCTACAATTTTAGTAGTGTCGTGACTATCGCTTGATTCAGTGTTGAAAACCGATGAAACCCACCCACTAAGGCCTTATCACGTAGCAGCTGACTATTGCATTTAAAAAATCTTTGCAAATGAAAAACAGGAAAACAATTAAAACACATGACTTTTCAGATAAAACAACAACGTGTATTGGGCAAAACACAAAACAAAGATAATACAGTCCCAAGCGGATGGAACACTGAACTAATATTTTCGCTATTTTTACATGGAACAACAACGAATTTTCACTTTAATGTATGGAATAATAATACAGCAGTGTTTTCAGTAAGGTAACCACTATTATTACGGGTCTAAATTATGGATTAGAGTTGAACGTGGACATCGAATTTACAGCACAATTTGGCCACCGTTTACTTGTGGTTGTAGTTCTTGTGGACCTCGGGCGAGATATTGTAGACGTACTGCAGGATCTCCTGGATGACGGGCTCCTTACGGGTCTGGATGGCCCGATCCATGTCGGCCAGCTTGACGCGAGTGTCCGCATCGATCTTGGCCGCCACCCCCTCGCGGCTGCCCATGTGCTGTGGGGTTGCAATAAATTAGCGCTATGTTATATACAGATGACCAGCCCAACTCACCTTGGCCTCGAATTCCTTAAAGGCGCGCTCGCGCTCCTGACGGAATTTCTCGATCTCCTCGGTGGCCTCGTCCTTGGCCTGCTTCAATCTCCTTGCCTTGCCTGCAGAATGAGGCGGAAAAAAAGGCAAGAAAAGTCATTAGAAGTTAAGACTCCCAATATTTACTTTTTTCCACCACATCATGTGACCCACACACAACGGTGATTATGGAGGCGGAGGGGTGGTGAAAAAATCGAAGTTACTTTTATGCCCCGTCCGTTCCAATTGGAGTGCAAATATTTCTATAAAACTCACGTTTACGGGCCTCGGCGACCTTTTCGGCTGCCTTTTTCTCGGCAGCGAGCAACTGCTGGATTCCCTGCGTCTGGCTGGCCATATTTCCTGGGTTTCTACTTCCTCGCCGTGGTGTACTGTGCAAGTCGAAAAAAGCAAGTGCCACTGAATTAAAATCGACGACGAACTGTGAAAAATGTCATATGACGAACTCACACACATGCAAACTCACCACGGACCGTGTTGGTGTGGGTGTGGTGGTGTGAAATTTTTAGGAATGGCAAAAGTCGATAAGATATCGATAGCTAATATTCCTTCTACTTTTCTCTATTTAGTTTACACTAATTCAACTTTTATTTAACTTTTTAGCCATTTCCTAGTATCTTATTTATTTTTGAACTCACTGACTATATTAAGGAAACTATAAATTCTTTGCAAAAAATGTTGACTTTATTTTTATTAGCCCAAAGAGCTACAGTTAATTTTATAAGAAGTTTTAGTTCCTTAAATTTGTATTTAACATTTAAAACTATTGATGCCAAATCAAGCTTGTGGTAGTGAAGGCATTATTAAAAATAACAAAAAAATAATGGCAGTACACACGTTAAAATAATGGGAAACAAAAAAATAGGTTCGCACGCAACAAAAATAAAATGGTTATTGGCTTATACGGTACCAAAATTTCTAGCAGACTTCGAAAGTAAGCATTGTTAATTATTCTTTTGCCGCAGTGGTTATTGGTTATTTATAATGATATTAAGTACATTTTTTTTACTTTCCTTACTTAGTATTGCTTTTTCATAATCTGTTATTGTTCTTATACATTAAAAAAAAAACTGCTGTTTTTTCGAGTTTCTCAAATGTGTTGGCCATCCTGCTTTAATACGTTAACTCCAAAAACTCAAAAGAAAACTTCCAATAGTGCAAAATGACTATAATTTCTTGCATTTATTTATTACTTCCAATAATACCCCCAATGAAATGCACATTCGATAGATATCGGCTTGAGAGTAGTCGATATTCGTATCCAAATACCGATACCAAAAATGGCGTCGCCAGCGATTCAATGATTTCCCAGTTGCTGTAAGAAAAATAAAACTTGAAATGCAGCATTTTGAGCCCCCAAGTCGATCCTAGTGAAATGTGAGATTAATTAGCGGAGAAAGAAGAGCCCAAGGCATGCAAAAGAAACCCATCCCAGGCAGGAATCCACACCGAAGCGGACATGGCAGCGGTCGCAAATGCAAGTGGTGCACCTGTTCCAGCGACTGCAGCCGCCCCTGGAGGAGGGGGCGTGGCAGGTGCTGGATCAGTTGGGGCCCAGTTCCGAGAAATACACAAGAACACTTGGCTAAAGCGGCTGACGGCAGATGGCAAGCGTTTGACCGTGGGGCCCAAGGTGGGTGGTCAAACATTCCCTTTAATCTATGGATATTATATTCCTAATCTTACAGAAATCCGAGTGCAGCTGGGTGGTGTTCTGCGTCCACGACGATACAGAGGCCCTGTTGGAGGGGTATGCGGAACCTAGACAGGCGGCAGGACATCTGCCCGAGTGGGCCGTTTCTCTGCGGGAAACCCTGCACATCTCACATGCCCTCATCCCCAACTCACATGAGTTCGAGTTTGTGGTCACGCTTAGCCACGAGGTGTTGCGCTTCCATGCTGTCTCTTGGTAAACACAGAAAACAGCTCACACGCAACGCCAATTAAGACTGCACCACTGACAACTTACTTTCGCTTTTTCGCAGGGAGATTATGCAAGAGTGGGTGGAAACGCTGCGCTCCAAGCTGCGCGAAATGAAGATTCTGTCGCCGCGGGAAAACCTGTACACAAAGCTACCTGAAGTGCGCGCCCCACTGCTGCCCACGAGGGATCCCACATCACCGTTGCCACCACCACCACCCGTTCCTGCGGCTCTCGTCCCAGGCATGGAGCGCGTGGTGGCCACCAATAACCAGGCACAGCCAGTTCAACCTCCTGAGCAGCCATCCAGTCCATTGGCCATCACACCCTCTGTTCCTGCTCCCGCTCCTGCTCCACCTGCTATGTCCAACACCTTGACGCAGCATCTCCTCAATATGCTCTCCGATCCCATAAGCACGTATAGCGAGCAGATCAGCGAGTCTGTAGAGCAAATCGCTGGTCAGGAGGATGCAGCGGGAGCAGACGGAGTCTTAGAGGAGCCGCCGTCCAATAGTGATGCTGATTTGAATCTCTCAGACGACGAATACCTGTCGCCACTGCTGCGCAAGGCGTGTGTGCTCACAGAGAATGGAGTCCGAGTGGACGTCGTAGCCGCATCAGCACAGCGTGCTTCTGCCGGTAAGGACACAAAATATCCTATTGCGGTACAATTCGCTTAGAACTTCATATACCATTGACACCAAGGAGATTTATGTAATGAGGAAACACGGCCAAAAACTTGTGACTTTCATAATTAAACCAGTGCTTCTAAATTGAAACCCAGATAGTTAAATCTAAGCGAATAATAGATAGTTAAATCTAAGCGAATAATAGTGTGTATTCCATTTATGAACGATTTAACAAAATATATTTTGCGATTTGCAGATCAAATCCTTAATTTGGAACACATGCTGCAATGCGAACGGCTGATTCCCAGGTAAGTTATCTATTCCCTATAGCATCTCGGACATTTCCTCGTAGCTGCGCTGCAGAAACTTGACAACTGCCTTCTTGGTACTTGGCTTGCCTTCGAATGTGGCCAAAAACAGTTTTCGCAGCACGGTCAGATATCTCATCGCGCTGAGGGTCAACTCCTGGCCCTGGGCATCCATTTTCATTCCGAGAACATTTTTGTATCTTCTGCTAACTTTGGAGCGCAAAATGTCGTATCTTTGGCTTGCCTGCTCCAGCAAGGGAGCACGCTGCTCCCGCTGGTAGTGATTGATATGGGCTTGTAGAAGGTTTTTAAAGTGTTCGTTGAAGTGCTTCACCTGCTGATAGTCAGAGTCGTTCTCGCAGAGAACACTGTATAAGGTGTCAAAGAACACCGCGGGGTCTTGTCCGGTGCAGAGTTGCTTTAGAGCGTTGATCGAAGAGCAGGCGAAGATTCGCTTGAGATAGCGATTTTCCTTGTCCAGCATGTAAATCTGTTCGCTTAGCATTTGAATAGATTTCTCGCTTTTTTCCTGCTTTGCTTGCAATTTATCTATCGCACACTGAAGCTCCTGCAATTCCTTGGTCAATGCGGCATTTTTGTCAATCAACCTATGGTTGGCCACCTCTAAACTCTCGCTGGAACTGAAAGAGGACAAGTCCTCCTCATCGAAGCTCTTGTCGGGTCTGCCGTTGTCTGGATGGTCCGCTTTATTATCTTTCTGCAAGCTCATTTGGTGGAGAGTGCGCAAATCCATTCGCGATTTGTTGGGATCCGTAAATGGGTAACCCAAAGTGCTCCGATCATTGAGCTGCTTGTGGAGCAGCAGAAGCATATAGTTCCGGGAAAATCGTTCCTTCGCCGTCGCCTGGTGAAAAATGTTGAGCCATCGGGTGCAAATTGGCACAATCCGATCTTTTTCGGGCAGCCTATCGACTAGTTTTACCACACTGGCCACCTCCTCGACAAAAAGATCGTCCAGTTTTTCATCGGTCAACGAGAATCTTTTGGCCATGTCACACTGATTATTATAAAGATAAATCGAAAGTGCTTGCGTTTTAAAAAAGAGACTACTAAGGTGTCATAAAATCGGTTGATTCATTTATCACAGTTAAATTAAAACGCACTTTAACTAAACTATATTTTGACTTTCGTTTTAGACCGCAAACATCAAGATCTATGTCCGCTGGCGCGGCTGATAAATCGAAGAGACCGCCACGCAAGACGCTCCACTCCCAATCGTCCAGCGTTGCTGCTGCGAACAGCCAAGAACCTCAGGACAACATAACAATCATCCAGGTGTCGAATATAAGCAACACTGGCCAGGAGCAGCCGCCCGAGCTGCCGCCAAAGAACACCATCACACCCGAAGTGTTTCGCTTTCCAGAAGTAAAGACAAAGTCTCAGTCGAATGTCAAGCAGCAGTCACACCAGGAGTATAAAAGCAACGTACAAATCATTCCGTCCAATGCCAGTAGCAGTACCAGTACCAGTTCCATTCAAGTCCTGGGCAAACAGCCCAGCAGCAGTAATCCATACACCACGCCCGTTAAACAAATCTCTTCCAATAGCCCCAGTCTGCAGGTTTCCGGCACCACCAAGGTAAAGGTGCTAGGTGAGGGCGAGGCCACCACCACAGTGGCTGTTTACGGCACATGCTATCCGCCGCCCGTTGCCACTACCACCACCTCGTCCTCAGCCTCCGCCTCTGTTATTCCTGCCAAGCTGCAGACGCCGAGATTAAGTAAGAAGATAATACTGAGTGCCAACACGTCGGGCATTACGAATATTAGCGTGAATAGTGAACAGGGAAATGACTCCATCATCAGTGGTAATGTGCACTACGAAAAGGTCTTCCTATCCTCCAGCATTCCCATCACCAGCAGAAGTAGTCCCACGAGGGCTGCAAATACTCATACCATCCAACCGGTAGCTAATGGAAGTCCTGCCTTGCCTCGTCGACGGTTGGCTTCTCCGGCGGCAGCGCAGCCAGTGGCCACAAGTGCATCAGAAAGAGCGGCGCCACAGTTAACACGAGGACTTACTGAATTAGTAATCAGTTCGCGACCCAGCAGAAGAGATTTCCACTACCTGAAGCTGCTAAACACACCACTGAAGACCAAGACATCCAATAAAACATCCAGCACCACGAACAACAACATCGAGCAACAGCCCCAGCAGTCCACGCCCTCCAGCTCCACTAGTACGCAAGTGACATCAGCGCAAAGGAGCAGCACTGCTATTACTACGGATGATAGCCAGGAGCAGCGCCGGCGCAGCTCGTCCACCTCCGATGCTCAGGCGCCTCTTCAGCGTGTCCCACAACCGGCAACCCAGCGAAACGCTAACAATAACGAGTTTACGCCATCCCGAAACGGAGTCTTTCGCATGCAGCCACCGCCACAGGGAGCACCTTCGTCCAGCACCAATCCCGTTCATCAGTCGCCCAACAAGCGACTGACCCTGCGGGAGCAGCAGGTGATGCAGCTGCGTCGGGAGATTATGCATCCGGGCGGAGTGCGCCTGAATCTCAGGCGCAAGGACTGCGTTGGCTCCATCGCCTGGGTGGATGCTTTCGGTGGAGTTTGGTAAGTTTGGGAGAACTCTAAATCATCTTCAAGTTGATTGTATGTAGCCTGCTTTGAAGTTTTTGCTAAAATAAATGGGGAAAATTTAATTAACGAATTTACTTACAGGATTGCGGGCTGGAAGCAAAAGGAGCATCCTGTGCTCTACAATGCCCTGCACATTGGGGATCAACTTTTGTCCATAGCCGGCGTGAACATCAGCAGTGCGGCGGAGGCAAACAAGATTATTAGGAATACCAACACGCTATTTGTAAGCAATTTGAATCAAACTTTTGGCTTGTTAGCCCTTTCTTTCCCTGTTCCTAATATTTAATATTGCTGATATCTTATAATTGTATCTATTTCGTAATTCGCATATCTTGATTCACAGGTTGAGGTCTTACTCCGCCGCATTCCGTTTGGTCGTGCATATGCCATTCGACGTGATAGAGAGGGTCAGTGTCTGGGACTGATTCGAGATGGAAATATGTCGACAATCGTGGACGTTGTGCCAAATAGCTTGGCCGCACGACACGGCCTTCCGCCTAAGGTGAGCGATATAGAAAAAGATTTCTGCTTAATAAGTTCTAAATGGTCAATAAATCCATTTCAGACGCAATCTTGCGATGGTAGCTCGCTCACCTTTTGGATGCTCACCGAGATCAATGGTCGATCACTGAATTTATTCTTCAAGGATCTGGAGATACGGGATAGGCTGAATTCCGTGGGCCGGGATATATCCATATTGGTGCAGCCGTCGGATTTGATAACCAAGCTGAAGAAGCAGCTTAAGTCGCTGCGCGGCTACAAGGATTACTTAGTACAGTAGTTCCAAGCATTAACGATCGATTCCATATAACCACACATAACTCGTAACTGTAATAAGCTGTTATACGCGAATTCATTTCGAATAGCTCTGGGCCAGTAATCATTCCATTTTCGCGTATACGTCAATGAACGGAACCACTATATAGTCATCTAGAACTGGTAGAATCATTTCGCTATAATACGTACTACACACCACACTTACTATGATCGAAACTACTTAAAGGACTTAGGTGTAGGTGTAGTGTTGAGGAACATATACAAAAACAACCTATATATTTTTGCAAAATTTTATATAAACTCATACATATATATACAAATTGATCATATATATAGATATATATACACCATATGTTTAGCTAACACTTTGAAAGGTTACCAAATTTACACCTTAAACTCGTTTGGATGCGGAAAGCTATAAGAAATTTACAACATGAAATTCAAGTATTTTAGGTTAACATATACACGCGTATCACACACACCTGTGCAACTTAGTATCCTTATGCAATATTGGAGTGCCTCTGATTTTGTTCATTAATGTTGTTTTCTTTCATGTTTCCATTTGTTTCGTGCGAAAAGACAAAAGCATCTGTCGTAACTTTTAAGATGTGATAAAAATGAGTACTCAAATTTAGGCAATTTTTAACGGTACATTTGTAAATGCTTTTTGATTTATTTTATATATAAGTTTCAGTGGGTAATTTCAATATACATATTATTACTTATGTAACGACCTTGCGAAACATTCATTAAAGCAATTTCACACGAATCACTGACAAACTGTTCCTTCTTTGGCCAGCCTTGCCCTTTGCTTCCAGATCCGGAAGTTGTACACATTGGTGTCAAGCTTGGAGTAGACAAATATGGGCATGGAGTTGGACATCACCCAAATGGTTCCCTCCTCGTCGATCTGTAAAATCAATGTCAAATTAAATACTCTTTATTCTTGGCAATAAGTTAATTTAACATTTATTTAACTTAAGCCAGAATAGTTTCGCTTACCGTCAAATCGCTAGGATAAATCATCTTCCGAGCGTTGGAATACACAGACCCATGGTTTTCCGTTGAGAACGGCTTGCTGGTCTTCCAGCAGCCCACTCCGCTCTTCTGGACTTCGGCAAAGAAGATCACACCGGTCGCCGGATCGTACTCGTGCATAGTGGACTGTGTGGACGACCCCCGGTTTCCTAGCATCCGGAAATCGTTGCTGTGATCGGAGCGCGCGGCATTGGACTCCTGTTGCAGAACTCGGTTGGACACCACAAACTCATTCGTACTGGCCATGGGATGGAAGAAGACGTCCCGGCTGCCATCTGGTTGATGTGGCCCCAAAGTGGTTGAGAAAATGCCGTCATCCCAGCGGAATTTCTGTCCGGCAATGTTTAGATCGTCAGAAAGCGGATCAAAGTTAAAGAAGTTGTGCTCGAAGGACCAAATTCTATCGTCTCGCAGATTATAGACGTGCAAACGGCGATTGATCAGATCCGGAATATAGGCGTAGGCATCGCCGCAATTTCCCGCTTTCACATCGATGGTAATGCTGGCTAATCCGCGACCAATTTCCACAATGCTCTCTGGGATTTCAAAGCGCTTCAGCACTCGATCCGTGGCCAAATCGATTACCCAAATGCTGGGTCGCCGTATCTGTTGGCGGTTATCTGAAGCAGAGAATTTTTAATCAGTTTCAAAAGTACTTTTATAACTAGTGGTCATTTATGGGATTTGGGTAGTAACAAGTGAACCATTAATCAAAAATTAGGAGCAATGGTTTGGATTTCTGTCAGATTTTGACTTCATCTACCTGATACTTCAAATCCAATAATAAATACTTACTTGGGTACTCCAGCATTCCGGTGTCGACGAACCAAAGTCGCTGGCAGGCATCCACCGAGGTTCGGTAGACCGACACCAGATTCTCCGCACTCACGTTATACTGATTCATTGCAAAGTTGGGATAGGCCCGGAGAATGGGACTCTGCCTCCAGCCATCTCTGACCAGATCGATGTAGTTCAAGGTGGACGGAATGCCCGGCTGTCTCCTAGGCGTCGTGATGAACAGACGTCCTCTAAAATGAGTGACTCCCTGTGGCACATTGTTGTATTGAATGAAGGAGCTATTATTGTTGACACCGGAATCGGGTGCCTTCAAGCATGGACGGGAACTATAGAAGTGCGGATCTAGGTAAATATGGAAAGACGTTCATTGATTATTTTTTAAAATAAATTTTTTTACTGTTCTTGGTAAAAAAAATACCTCAATGAAATTATATATTTGTTTACTTGATCCATTTAACTATCAACTTAAACATATTAATTGACTGCTTACATTTGGTTGACAAACTTTAAAGGCATGCATTGTAGAGTGCATTTTGACAACCAATTTCTTAATTTAAAAAAACCCAAAAATTGGTTTATGGAGTAGGACATACCGCTGCAATTAATCATATTGAAATCATTTTAACAATAGGGCAGCACTGAAAGTATCAGTTTCAAAAGTGGGTTAACAAAACCATTCCGTAAATAACGGATAAAATTAAATTATACTTATAAAAAAATAATTTTGAACACAAAAAAATATGGATTACTTTTGGCAAAACTGGTCTTGTGTGATTTTCAAGTAACTTAATCAAAGGTTTATAAATGTATTTTGGAAAAAGCTACAGATTCGTCTGTTTAAGTGCTCAAATTGAAATTTTGAGTTCTTATTGTTTAATGCGAGGAGTAACATAATGCTCGCTGTCTAACTCACCTGGACTATCCCCGCGATTAAAAAAGTCCATTTGTTTCCATTTAAAGACCTCTATCATGGGATCACTATCTGCAAAGGTTGGCAACTGTAACCCTGCGATTATGCAGAGGAGTAGAAATTCTGGCGTTAACATTTCTTTGTCTTTGCTGTAGTATCAGAATAAAGCTGCGTTCGTTCGTCTTTTCAGCCTGAGATTTCATTAGCGACTGATACTTTATATGTCACGGATACGTGCTCTGCGGCTCGAAAATTCAAAATGAGAAATGCTAAGAGAAGTGAGCCTCTCCATTTTTTTTCTTTGTTATAGTATATTTTTTTTTTATTTTTTGGTGCATACATTTTTTTAATATTCTTTTATATTTCAGTATATATATATATGTGTTTCATCTCCAAAGCTTTCGCTCAATTTCAAATAATCATGTACACTAAAGTTAAGCTTTAAAAGCCAATCCAAACTAAGTTATAAGATGCGTACTTTTTAATTTTTTGTATCATGCCCTTGCATAGAGTATTATAACTTCAGTTAAATGTTTACACCGCAGTGAAAGAGTAATTTCTGACATCTTAAAGTGTCGAAGAGCTTTGTTAAATTTTAATTTATAATAAAATCAAAAGAACTTCTTTGTTTTTTTAATGAACTATAGAAATATATATTCTAATATATTTGTATATTCTTATAATATTTATTTATTTTTTTTTAATATATTACAGTCGATTTATATAATCCCAAAACAAATTAGAAATCGTGGTTGAAAATAATTACTACATTTTAATTTGTATGCCTATATTACTAAAAACAATATAGCTATGTCGATTTTGCGCTGCAAAATGAGTCTATTACAAGACACCGGAAAATTAACAAGAAAGGAAAGCTAACTTCGGGCGGAGCCGATGTTGATATACCCTTGCAAAATATTCTGTAAATTATATTCTCCAAAATCGGATCGGTTATTCATATAATGCATTCATAATACTCATAAAAAATCCCAACTACCTAACTTTAAAAACACCAAAGTTATGTCATTTCCAATAGTTCAGTTATATGGCAGCTATAGGATATAGTCGGCCGATCCTTATGAAATTTGGTAGGTCGGATTGATTAGCCAAAAATAAAACCCATAGATAATTCCAACTTCCTAACTTTACAAACACCAAATTTATGGCATTTCCGATCAATCAGTTATATGGCGGCTTAGGATATAGTCGTCCGATCCTTATGAAATTTAGTAGGCCAAACTAATTGGCAATCCGAACTTCCTAACTTTAAAAACACCAACGTTATGGCTTTTCCGATCGTTCAGTTATATGGCAGCTATATGATATAGTCGCCCGATCCGTCTCGTTCCGACTTATATACTACCTGCAATAGAAAGACAACTTTTGGGAAAGTTTCAAGCAGATAGCTTTAAAACTGAGGGACTAGATTGCGTAGAAACGGACGGACAGACGGACGGACGGACAGACGGACAGACGGACATGGCTAGATCGACTCTCCTGGTGATGCTGATCAAGAATATATATACTTTATAGGGTCGGAAATGTAAGGGTAATTAACATGAAAATGGGTCAAAAATTTGATCAACGTTAATTTGAAAAATTTGAATGCAGATTTTTAGAGAATCGAATCACAAGTCTTTAAAGGAATCTAAGACTTTTTAGGAATCGACTTAAGTTTGGTAAAGTTATGGACTCTAGAAGTCCAATTTGAAGTCTCTTTTACAAGTCATCCTTGCTATCGTTTTCATCGCAGCTATATGATATTGTTGTCCGATTTTGATAAAACTAAAAGCGTAATGCTTATATAATAAATAATTATGATATCTCAAAGGATTAATTTGATAAATAGAAAAAAAGAAAAGTATTTTTTTTTAAATTTTTGATGTGATCCTATTTTAATTTAAATAAAACGGCAATTCCATAGTATTTAAATATTAAAAAAAAAAACAACAAAGTTATACTTTTTATACCCGTTACTCGTAGAGTAAAAGGGTATATTGTATTCGTGCAAAAGTATGTAACAGCTAGAAGGAAGCGTTTCCGACCCCATAAAGTATATATATTCTTGATCAGGGTCACTAGCCGAGTCGATATAGCCATGTCCGTCTTTCCGTCTGTCTGTCCGTATGAACGCTGAGATCTCGGAAACTATAAAAGCTAGAAGATTGGCATTTTGCATGCAGATTCTAGGAGTTCCTACGCAGCGCAAGTTTGTTTCAAAAAGATGCCACGCCCCCTTTAACGCCCACAATCGCTTATATACGATTTTAAAAATTTAAATATTTCGGAAAAGTAAAAATGCAGTTTTATTGTGTTTATCAATACCTATCGAAATGTAGAAGAAATTTTTCAAATCGGACCATTCGTTAAGAAGTTATGCGTGATCAAAGTTTCTATCTCCATCTCCCTCCCACTCCCTTTACCTGAGTAACGGGTATCTGATAGTCGGGGCACCCGACTATAGCGTTCTCTCTTGTTTTGCATTAGATTCAGGCGAGATTTTTAAACATTAAGGATGATATAAAATAAGGACATAACATTTAGTCAATTTCAACGGTAAATATATTTTGTACATAAGTTTTAGTGGGTAATTTTGATACACATATGTTGGTACTGTTACTTAATTAATTAACTGGGAAGCATTCACTCAAGCGATTCCACTCAAATCACTCACAAATTGTTCCCCTTTTTGCTAGCGAAGCCCTTTGCTTCCAAATCCGGAAATTGTATATTTGCGTGTCCAGCGTGGAGTAAATAAAAATGGGCATTGAGTTGGACATCACCCAGATAGTTCCCTCCTCGTCGATCTGTAAAAATAACGAAAAATCAAATATGACTCTCTTTTCACTTTCCTGATTTTTTTTCAATTTAGTTTTTTAAATGTTTGTTTTTGTTAAAGAAGAGTCTGTGCAAAAGAACTTTTTATTATTTGCTCTACGGGTCCTTAACTGGAATGCAAGCCTTATTTTACCATCCTACTCTAGTAGACTTCTCCTAATTAATCTACCATCCTTAGTAAACCGTAGAACGATGCTTGGCACAACTTTTATCTATAAACTTATTCACGGGGATGTGGAGAGTCCCGAGTTACTGGGTCGCATAAGCTTCTCCGTGCCTAATAGAATTACCAGGAACTATGTTCCTCTTACATTAAATATTTGTAGATCTAACTTTGATATGCATGAACCGTTTAGAGTACTGTGTAACGACTACCACATTATTTCTACTACCGACTCTTTGCCAAGCCTAAAATCATTAATTTTATCTTACTTAGCACAAAATTAGTATTAGTATTAGTCTCGTATGTATTTCTAATCTTGTCTGTTCGCTTCTGCCTTGTGCTTTTAACTTCTCGCGATCTCGTTTTTACGCCTATTAGGCTCTGCGCGTAACAAGCACTGCTTGATGTCGTAAGGGCCACTTGTTTGCGCTGATCATAGTGCATCAACGTCCGAATATAAATAAAGATTTCTGTTTATGATCTATTTCTTCAATGATCTTTAAGAGGATTTCGAAAATTTATTAAAATGCATTTAGTTATGGATTTTGACTTATCGTGTTATTTATCGTTTAGTTTACTTATTATTGTTGATTTATTTTTAAAATTTTAAAATTTTGAATCAATATAAGAGGGATTGTTTCGCTTACCGACAAGTCACTGGGGTAGATCATATTCATTGCATTGGAGTCCACAGTGCCATAGTTTTCCGCCGAGATCGGCTTGCTGGTCTTCCAGCAGCCCACTCCGTTTTTCTGGATCTCAGCGAAGAAGATCACTCCGGTTCCCGGATCGTATCCGTGCATCGTGGACTGCGTGGATGGCCCACGGTTTCCCAGAACCCGGAAATCGTTTCCGTGATCTGAGCGTGCAGCATTGGATTCCTGCTGCAGCACCCGGTTGGACACCACAAACTCATTCGTACTGGCCATGGGATGGAAGAAGACGTCGCGGCTGCCATCTGGTCTATGTGCTCCCAAAGTGACTGAGAAGATGCCGTCATCCCAGCGGAAGGTCTGCCCTCCAATGCTCAGGTCCCCGGAAAGCGGATCGAAGTTGAAGTAGTTGTGCTCAAAGGCCCACATCCGATCGTTCCGCAGGTGATAGACGTAGAGCCGGCGGTAGACCAGATCCGGGATATAGGCATAGGCATCGCCGCACTTTCCCGCCTGCACATCGACGGTTATGCTGGCCAGTCCGCGACCCGTCTCCGCAATGCTCTCCGGGATGTCGAAGCGCTTCAGCACGCGATCCGTGGCCAAGTCGACCACCCAAATGCTGGGTCGTCGGATCTGTTGGCGGTTATCTAAAAAAAATAATTGTTTATTATTTTGAATGGTTCTGTTTCACCCTTGCAGGGGGTATATATGTTATAGTTATGGTCAGATGATTTAAAAACTTTGAGTGAAACTCAATTTAAATGTTGATTTTAAATTGTATGAGCACAAGGCCATCAAAAAAGAAGACTGGACTTGACTTTGATATTGATAAGGCGCTCACACATTTGTACCTACATGGAATAAAAATGACTACAGAATCAGAAAGCAACGACAGCCCTATACAAATGCTATTACAGGGTCGCATAAATTAGAAACGAATAATCCGATGCGAGTGTAGTAAACTCACTTGGGTACTCCAGCATTCCAGTGTCAATAAACCAAAGTCGCTGGCAGGCGTCCACTGAGGTTCTATAGACTGACACCAGATTCTCCGCACTCGCGTTGAACTGGTTCAGCTCGAAGTTGGGATAGGCCCGCAGCTTGGGGCTCCGATCCAATCCATCCTTGGCCAGATCGATGTAGTTCAAGGTGGACGGGATGCCCACCCGTCGCCGTGGCATCGTGACGAAGACGCGTCCCCGGAAATGGTTAACTCCCATTGGCACGTTGTTGTACGGAATATAGGGGGCATCGGGGTCATCACTACCAACACGGCTATTTACGACCACTGGAGAATCGCGGGAGGTTATAGTCTCACGCTTCTGACGAGAGTATTTCCCAGGGAAGACAACAGGTGCTAGTGAAACAGGTAAAAATATAAAAAAGGAGGATATGCATTACAAATGCAAAATTTAAATTAAACAGAAATCAGTTTTTTTCGAATTAAAGATTACATAAAATAAGTACCTTACCATTTTAACCATTAATCAGTGTCAATTTAAGTATATATATTTCAAACAAAATTATTTTTTGATCAAATTAAATCCATACCTAATGTATGGGTCATGCCAGGCTCACTGACACAATAATTATAGGGGTCGCTTGCTTCACATCATTTTATTTTGTAGAAAGTAATTTATTATCTCATAAAGAATATTATTTTTAGAACGTTTAAATAAAAATCAATTTTACCTTGTAATTTCTTGACTCACCTGAGAAGCTGGGTCTGTCTGGCCTTCCGGATAAACCCAAGTGTCCATCGCCACGATTATAGAAGTCCATCTGTTTCCATTTGAAGACCTCTATCATGGGATCAGCTTCTGCGTTGGAGAGCAGTTGTAACCCTGCGATTAGGCAGGGAATTAATCCTTGCGGCGAAAACATTGATTGGTTCGTGTTTGCTGGGGAAACTTAATTAATCTCGGCTCGTTCGCCTTGTCCGGCTGAGACTTCAATAGCGACTGGGAGCCAATACGTTCCCAACTGAAATCTACATGCTGCACAGCACGAAAGTTAAATATTAAAATTGATAAGGGAAGTGCGACTCTCACGAGTTCTCAAACCGGTTCTCAGACTCGTTAGCCTAATAATATTGCCCATGCCAATCGACACTATAGATTAAATTACCTTATTAGATCTAAATTGAATGATATTTTAATGATTGATCGTTTTTTATTTATATTTTTTTATTTCAATTGTAAGGATTTTAGTATGATTTACCCTTGGTTGCATGTTTCTTGGCAAACATATTTAAATAAATAGGAAAACAAGAAGGAATGCGAATGTCGAGTGCCACGACAGCCCGTACTCTATTAACCGATTTTAACGAAAATTACACAAAGATTTAAAACCATTTAGGCATTCGACACGAAACAAAAGATTTTTGTTCATTAAAAGTAAAATAAAGCGAGTGCAGAATTATTAAGAATGAGGTTATTGGCCCCATTTTTAAATTCGAGCTATAATGCTTTTACATACAGATTTGAAGAACAAAGTAAACATTTTGTGTGTAAGTGTAGTTGCCAGTAGCAATAAATAATAAAAAACAATGAACTAAAAGTGAAAGTTTATGAAGTTTCACCAAACCTTTTTATTCTACGGTGATTTATTTACATATTTGCAAACCTATTAATAAAATTTAATTTTGTGCTTTTTACTTTCTATCCATCTATTCTGACTAGTATTTTGCCTACCATGAGAAATTAATTTGATAAAACCTTTAGAAGACCAAACCATAATATTTTGATTCGAATTTTACAATATATTTTTTTGACAAGCCAAATTTAAAATGTTGCGCAAAGCAATGCAAACCAGGGAGTGCTAAGAGTCGATTCCCCGCAATATCGGTACTTAAATCGATATCGATTAGTACGTGCAGTTGTGTAAATGGAGCTGAACTAAGTGTAAACAGGGCTTTTGCAAGATGCGGTATAATTTGTTTGTCAGTGCCTTGAAACTGCTAAATAGCACAAAAAATCACAATTTATTGGTTGTGAACGTGCGCAGTTTGACCGGCGCAGCCCAGACCAGTGATGCAGTTGCTCCGGCCACGCGTCTGCCGCCAGTGGAAGCCGAAAATCCCGGAGAGGAGCAACGATCGCTGCACGTCGCCGTAATTGGAGTGCCAAATGTGGGCAAGAGCACGTTCATCAACAACACGGTGAACCACCGAGTGTGTCCCACCTCGGCCAAGGTGCACACCACTCGTAAGTCGAGCTCGGCCATCTGCACCACCGGCCAGACGCAGTTGGTCTTCTACGACACTCCGGGTCTGGTGACCCAGCACGAGATCCGTAAACACCACCTGGACCAGAACTTCAAGAGCGCCTACCGCCATGCCATCCAGCATGCGGACATCATTGCAGTTGTTCACGATGCCTCAAACGGATGGACGCGCAAGGAGCTGCATCCCACGGTCCTGGACACGCTGAAGGCCTACAGCAACCTGCCCAGCTTCCTGGTCCTCAACAAGATTGACGCTCTGAAGTCGAAGCGCACGCTCCTGGACCTCATCAAGACCCTGACCAATGACACGCTGACCGCGGGAAAGCGAGGAGCTGCCAGAAACACTGTGGTGGATCCGCTGGCCAAGGAAGTACGACTCAACAAGCGGGAGACCACTTGGAGCCACTTCAGCGACGTGTTCCTCGTCTCCGCCTTGACGGGCAGCGGCCTGCCGGAGCTTCAGAACTACCTGGTGGGCCAGGCCAAGCCCAGAGCTTGGAAATACCCAGCCGACAAGCGCACCGACTCCAGTCCGGAGGCCCAGATTGTGGAGAGCGTGAGAGCCCGCCTGCTGGACTACTTGCCGCAAGAGATTCCCTACAATCTCAAGTGCGATCTGGAGTACTACAGCGTGGAGAAGAGTAAGCATTTGAAAACTAAAATCCTCCTGCTTAAATGGTTTTATAAGCCCTTGAATGAATACCAGATATTCTAATATAAAATATAATAGTTAAGAATCCCTTTTTGACGTATTCATGGTTAAGTACCAATCAAAAGGACAGCATAGAGTACTTTTTGACCATCTTAATATTAGTATTATCATTTATCATTAAGTATGTTATCAAGGTTTCCATCTAAGTATTCAGCCGGCACTCTTTTGCATATCCCACATCCTTTCTTACTCCAATTTTTTTTTGCAGATGTGATTTACACCTCCGTGCAAGTGCAGTGCCCCACGACGCGAATTGAGCGCCTGATTTGCGGCGAGGGCAACGGCAAGTTGCGCCAAATCACGGAAAGGGTGACCTCCGACCTGGTGGAGATGTTTGGCCAGGCGGTGTCCCTTACCATCTCCACGGTGTCGAAGGGCAAGAAGACCGCCTCCTAAACAGATGTTGATTATTTGTACTTTATTTGTAACGTTGCATAAACCTAAGAGTTCACAAAAGCTTCAAATGCGCCACCAGTTTGTCCAGATCCTCGGCTGGAGCAGGACCCAATCCGAGCACCGTGGCCGTTCCCGATTCCAGCTGGGTGCGGCCGGCATCCCGCACCATGGCGGCCACCACGTTAGCCTGCTGGGCCTGCAATTCCAGGGAGTTCAACTGCTCGAAGTTGTCCACTCGAAGGACAATCTTCGGTTGTCCCAGGCGGCACCATCTCTCTAGTATGGCCTTTTGGAGCTTGGTGCCCTGCTCGGAACCCTGGTAGCACATCACCGCCGCATGGGCGCACTGGGCCGCCGTCTTGCCCTTGGACATCTTGAGGTCGGACCGGACCACCAGTGCCAGTTTGGTGGACTTGCCAAAGGCCAAACTGTTGCTGAGGAACTTCTGCAGGATGCTACTTGACGTGGGCATACTTCTTGCTCTGCTGCTCCACGTACTTCTGCATGCACGCCCGGAACTCCTTCACCTTGTCCTGGCAAGCCCTCCAATCTCCCGTTTCAGCGATGCACTCCTGGACCTTGTAGTGAAGCTCTATGCAGCCGGTCTTCTTCAGCATCAGTTCCACAGGGTCCTGATCCGTCGCTGCGGACATTGTCTTTTGCACAAGGCCGGCTAAAATTCCTCCAGTTCGTTTCGAATTACGAAATTCGGACAGGGTTGTCAACGATTCGCATTAAAATACCGATAGTCTTCGATAATACTTTTTTAGTAGCTTATATTTTATGCACTAAAACATCGATTGTATGTCCTTGCGATCGTAACAAAAATATAAAGCACCCAGTAAAGTAACTTCGAATTGCTTATATATTTTTAAAAAGGAAATGTGCCTATAATTTGAATAACTAGTTAATTATCCGGAAATAAGCAAGTACTAAATTTAGTCTTATCTACATCTACATTTTTTTATATATCTACATAATTGGGCATTTGTACAAGTATATTTTCTAGATTATCTACATATGCACGCGAATTCACAAATATATTTAATGTTTTCTAAAAGAATAAAACATATTGACATCAACAAATAATAAAGTCTTTAAGTATATATATTTACTAGCTAACCTCTCAAATTAACAGATAACTGTTTTTCTAAAATAATCCCGAAAGTGGAATTGTATATTCTTATAACCCTTCAATAGCATTTCCAATTAAAAAAAAATTACTCCTTCAGAATCATGAAATATACATTAATCAAGGTAAGCCTGATTCTGCCATTGTGCCGTGAATTCAAATTTAAATTAAATTCGAAAAAACAGGGGCCTATCTTCGTATGTAAAAAACAAATAAAAAGGCCGAAATATAACGTGTAAAACGAATTATCCACCGAATAAGTGTGACCATGAAATCAGAGCACTTTCCGGCCCCCTTGGCAAGGCGCTGTGGTATTCCGGGGTGAGAAGACACCGGTCACACTGCTGCAATTGCAATCAACGAGCAACGAGCGAATTGCAACGAGCAGGCGAAAAATCACAAAAAGCGGAAAATCACAACAATCGTGGGTGCAAACGGAACGGAAACGGCAAGGCAACGGAAAGTGTCCGGAAATCGGATGGCCCGGCAGTGAAAGCCCGTAAAGCAGAGGCGCACTTGGCGCGTTTCGAGGGGAAAGGCGCGTTAGCATTGCGTTCTTTTCCAAACCGATTCGATTCCAAAACCAAACCAATCCAATCCCCACACACACAGCTACACATACACACACACACGCATACAGTGAAACGAGTGAAAGTGCATCTACATCTGTGATTTCGTATATAATAATGCGTCGCGCATACGCGGATTTGGCCAGCAGAAGCACCAAAGACTAACAAGTGATCCAATCCGGTCCGATCCGGGGATTGAGTTGGTTGGTCGGCTAACCCCTACCCCGACGATCACGATGGCCGATCAGGTGGCGCACACCAAAGAAACGGATGCTGAGGAGCCGCTGGTGAATGGCGAACTGCCATGTGAGGCGTCGCCTACCTGCTGCCATGTGATGTCCTCCCTGGACGGGGATGCGGACATGGAGGCCAGTTCCTCCTCCTCCTGCTTTGCTGATGCCGCCGCCACTTCCCAGCTGAATCCGTCGCCACCGCCTGCTGTCCAGCAGCACGCGAAGCCGGCACGGAGCAGCTCGCCGCCCTGCCACCTCCTCGAGCGGGTTAACTTTCCCGAGGGCAACATCATAAACACGCTGCACACGATCCTCGCCCTGCCGCCCTTCGACCCCTACGCCCCTGCCCCAAAGGCGGAGACGGTCTACAAGGAGGTCGTCTCCCTGATGCAGTGGAGCCAGCGGGAGGACAACGCCATCGAGCTAGAGCTCAGCGACAAGCTGCTCCATGAGTGCGAGCACAAGGGCGGCGATCCCAACGACGAGACGCGATCGTATTTGGTGGGTTTTTTCAAAGGGATAATAACACCAGAGCAGGACAATTATTTATATCGCTTTTGATGCTAGCTGTTATATACGTTTGAAACGGTCTTGTTTTCTGCGTTGCGAATAGGTTTTAGAAAGACTCTGAATTGTTCTTAAAGCATACCGAGGTCATTTTAAGGTTTAGAATATAGATCCTATTGCATACTGAGTTTAGCTATTGGTTCTTTATTAGATAAAATTTCCTAAAAGACAATAAGAAGATAGCCTTTTTTAAATGAGTTTCATTTGTTGTTATAGAACACTAATTTCCAAATTTGACTTTATCTTATTGGAACATATTTCCATATTTAAAATATGGTACATATTGACTAGATTGGTAAAATAAGCAATATTTAAATCCAGTTATGCCCATTAGATGTAATTTTCCCCATTTAAACTGAAGGGCACTTTATTTATTAATATATTTTATTTAAACAAAACGAAATTGCAAATGTTAATAAAGATAACAAACACGGGATAACTGTTTAATTAACTTTGTTTCCCTTTTATTTGCTCGTAATCAATTAAGGTGTTCTTAATGAACACGATCTTATACCCTTAAGAGGCCATACGAATTTGGATCGCTCACTCTGTATATCCTCTTTCCAGATGGCTATTGAGAACATGCGTCTGTTTTCGGAGGATCCAAAGAATCCGCTGCGTGATGCCGACGGGCAGCTGCGTGCAATTACGGTGCGTTTTCCCGAAATACTAGCTTTTTATAACGTAACGTACTCCTAATCCATTGTAGCTATATTTCCAGAATCTTGCCTTCATATTTGTGAAACACCGGAAGGAGGAGTTCTTCACATTTTGTTCCTGCAAGGAATGTCTCGAATACCGCGAAACCATCATGGCTATTATGATGGATCAATTTAAGGCTGCGCACATGGTGGTCATGTTGCTGGACGTTTTGATCAAAGCCTACAGTCCCATGTTGAAGTAAGGACAATCTTCAATGTTCTCATAAATATAAAAAAAAATTATTAAACTTTTTAAGACTATCTCTTTATCATAAGCCAAGGTCAGAGGCTTGAATTACAAAAAAATATATATATTTCGTTTTAAGTTTGTTTACAAAAAAATATATATATTTTCTTAAAATAAGAAAGTCAACAAACTAATTTTTGTCGAAAAATCTATTTTACAGAAACGATGCTGCCTACAATAAGTTTGAGAAGCTGCTTGAATGCAACAAGGAGATCTATTGGATTACAAGCGGCTACCTCTACGATAAGAATGCCGAATATCTTGATTTTATTGATGATACAGCGATCTCCGATAATATGATATTAGTGCTATTCAGCGCCATGTAAGTATAACTTTCCGGAGAGGATTAGTACCCTATAAGCGTTTATCTAAACTCTCTTTTTACTCTCCAGCTTGATGGCCAACAATCCGATGCTGCTGCTACAAATACTCGCCTATAATGTGGAATGCATTGTGAAGGCATTCTCCGAGGGCATGATTGAAATAGCCCAGAACATCCAGGAGAACGAGAAAATTTCCGCAGAAAGGATGCTGACATGTAAGAACAATATAGGACATTTTCAAATTAAGATTTGAGGGTTAAAAATAAATTTTTGCAAATTCATAGAGGTCTGACTTTTAACATTAAATTTTTTATGCACATATAAATAAGTATTTTCTCAGAATGAACTGACGCATATAATTTCATTCCAATTTTTACTGATTGAAAAAACTGGGACGGGTTTGTTTTTTAAAGATTGAAATATATAAATTTATATTTATCTGCGTTTCTTCTAAGAAATGTACAATAAAAATACTATAGACTCAGTCACAAAAATGTCATAATCTTAGGTTCTAAAATAAATATATATGTATTAATTATGAACTTAGTCATTTATTAAATGAATCACTCTTCCATTTAGACATTCTTGATGGGTACTCCGATCTGAACTGCATATCGCAGAAGATCTCCCTCAGCCTGTTTGCGTTTGAGAACGACTTTCTGCGCAAGTTCAAGCTTTCGTGGGTGCTTCTGTGCCAGCGTCTGTTCCAGCAACATGTGTTCACGCCCCTGGGGGATACCATGCTGGCCTGTATCCTGTCGCTGAAGGAAGCGGCTCCGTCGGCCCAGACGACGGCGCTGATCAAGCGGTACATGCTGTTCGACGAGCACATGCACTCCATCGAGCGCCGCTGGACAGACATCTGGATCGAGCTAAACAAGTTTAACTTGTCGCCCACGGAGCACGAGCGTCGGATGGGCCTGCTGGATGTGTACAACATATTCGACAAGGTCGTCCTGGACGCCACCTCGTTCTCGCTGCCGGATATCAGCGACGATGAGTTCATAGACTTCCAGCGCATCGTGGATCGCCAGCTGGCCTGGAAGAACATCATGGCCTTCACGAAGCTGAAGTGGCCCGACGGCTTCTACGACCCGCCCAATAAGCTGGTGCACGAGGATCTCTGCAAGAAGTGCAATTCGTTGCTCGAGCACCATAACGAGTAAGTTGTGGGAGGCAGACTACTTATATCGTGTATGAAATCATAATCATTAATACGTAATTATTCTCTGGTCTCTGAAATAAAGGGAAATGGAAAAATTTGTTTATAAAAATATTTTACTTATATTGTATTGTTTGAACCTCACATTATATACTGTAATTTAATATCAGCCCTTTAACAAAGGATATCTTTTCACGAAAACTAATTATTGATTTAGAAAAACTCTTAACTTTAATATTTACCTTAACTGTTCTTCTTATTTTTCAGGGACTGCAAATGCATCACTTGCTCCATCGCCGGAACTCCGTTGCGACCGCGGCAAGCGGGCCATTGTGCCAAGTGCACAACGCTCGGCATTGTCGAGAAGGATCCGAAGCTGATGAAGTCCAAGATCCTCAGCACCTGCACCAGCGACGAGGCTAAGCACAATGCGGCTACTGCGGCGATGGCGGCCACCACGGGCTCCTCCGCCGCCCACCAGCAGCGTCGCACCAGCGATCTCCCAGAGGACGAGTCACCATCCGGAAGCGGCAGCAGCAGCAGCGGATCGGTGTTCCGGCGGCAGGCGGAGACGACCGACACCCTGCGCACCACATATCACATCGCATGGGCCGTGTTCCAGCACCTGACCACCAGGAAGCGCTACCGCCACGACTCGATCGAGGCTCAGTTCTTCTGCGGCGAGAACTGTCGGGTCTCCGCCTGCCAGCTGGCCAGAAAGATCTTGGCCAACCAGCTATCGCCGCCGCTGACCAAGTATCTGCTGCGCTGCTTCCAGCCGCTGTCCTTCACGCGGGAGGAGCTGCGCTCCACGCTGCCCTCGCTGATGTTCTTCAACCGGAAACTGGCTCCGAGTCCTGCCGAGCTGCAGGAGCTGAGGAACCAGCACTACGTGTACAAAACCTACTGGACCTTCGTCCTCTCCATCTACGCCAACTTCTTTGTCAAGTTCAACTCCAGCAGCACGGATTTTGGCCACCTGGAGCTGCTTAAAGGAGATCTGCGCCTGCGGCTAAACAGTGTGGTTGGCGACAAGGATGACGGTCGGTTCGAGCAGTTTCTGGCCCAGGTTATAGGGTAAGTCCTGGTTAAAGTGTTCCTTAAAGGTCGATTAATATTTTTCTGTTCCATTCTTGCAGATATTCACCTTTTAAAATCACTGATGAGTAAGTATTGTATTTGATTTTTCTCACTGCCATTGAACTACTTATTTATCCTACCTACAATATTTATGCTACATCTTTATCTTTATTTTAACTTAACTTCCTGCACATAATTTGCAAAAACTTCGTTTTTTTAACTGACATGTGCGGCCGGATATGGGCATTTCTTAGGGTTGTCATTCCTATATATAAAAACAAACAAAATTAATTTTTTAGTCTAGACTTTGAAAAAGAAAATGGTCAAAGTTATTGAAATAGTCAACTAGTATTTAGAATTATATATTCACGAAAAATGAATTATAATTGACTAAAAATAGTGGATAAAGTTTAGGTGTCAGTCCTTTCCCGTGAACTTAGGCCTACTCTACACTACTAAACTAATTTATTATCTTCATCTATCGATTGTTAATTGATCGAAAACCTTTCGTAACGTGTGACGGTGTCTCCCATCAGGATTTTCTGTCGGAAAATAAAACTTAAAAAATAAAACTACGTAAAAAACGTATTTTGAAAATCTTTTTTAATCTACCATGTTAATTTTATCTAAATCTTGGTGATATAATATAAAAAAACGCGTGGATTTTTTCCGCACCGTGGCAACATTGCAATGTAGGAGGCTTTTCATGACAGCAAATGACATTTTGCAAACGAGACTGGAAAAGAGTGTTCTGTTTTACAATCCCGATTTGTACTATATTTTTTATTCCTTTTGCAGTTTTACGCTGGGTGATGCCAACATAGAAAAGATGCAGTTTGGAGTGGATCAGCTTATGATGTTGCACGATTCTCAAATAATGTAAGTGTAAAGAAAAGTCTACCGCGTTTAAGAAATCTCCAAAAGGATGAGTGGTGAAAATTTTTGAAATAAAAAGGTATTCAATAGTACAAGTAATCCAAATTGGCAAATTAAACGTTTGCGAAGCTCTCTGAATGAGTAACTTTTCTAAAGTTAAATTATCTCCGGTGAATAAATTTCTATAAGAAAATTTACAAGAGCAAAAATTGTGTAAGGTGTACCCTTCATAAATGAAGTTTTTAGATCAATGCTTTTTTCTGTACTCTTGTATAATTTATCTTTATTTTAATCTTTATAATAAATATGTATTTTTGATTCCTTTAGTAAACGTACTAAGCCAGATAGCACTACGGGCTTATCGGGTGCCAAATCCAAGGGAGGAGAGTCTAACTTGTCGCACTCCGGAGGACGAAATGGCGATGCGGGAGGCAACAAGAAGAGCAAGGAAAAGATGCGCAAGTGTAAGAATAGATATTTTATATTTCTATACAGATACTTAATAAATTGTGTTTTTTTTTGCAACCCATAGGCTGTGCTGACTATGCTGACATTGGAGAGCCGTGCAAGGAGAATCACTCAAAGAAACGCGTCAAAAAGGAGTGCAATCATGCGCGCTTCAATGAGACGCGGGATCGACTGCGCAAGAAGCTCTCCCAGATCGTCAACGATCGGAAAACCAAGTCAACGGAGGAGGCCACACCATCCAAGGCCAAATCCACACTGCCGGAGCCAGTTGTTGTTCCTGCACCAGCAGCCATCCCACCGAAGCGGCCGCCCAAGGTCGAATCCCTTCCGCCGAACCAGCCACCCAGCCTGAAAGTGTTCGCCACGGCTCAACTGCAATCCTCCAGCAATCCGCGAAAGATGCCTCCGGCAGCAGCGGCTGCAGCAGCGGCAGCGGCAGCTGCAGCTCTAAACGAGATCGGCGAGCAGGTGGAGCAGGAGGGCGACAATAGTCTGCTGCGCCTGGACAGCCTCTGCAAGAGACTCCAGATCCACACTGATGCCACGGACGCCTCGGCGGCGGCAACGGCTGCAGAAGCAGCCGCTGCTGTTGCTGCTTTCAAACGCGGAGGTGGTTTTCCCGCGGACTACAGCAAGGAGGATATGATGCAGGACTTTGCCGAATTCCTGGGCACCTACAGCCAACAGGACAGCCAACAGGATCAACAGCGCTGGATAAACGAGACCCTCAACTTTATCGAGGGCAAGTCCCAGCAGCCGCAGACCTCCAACCCAAAAAAGGCGGCCAAGAAGGCCAAGCAGAAGATGCGCAAGGAGGAGGAGAAGCGAATCAAGGAACTGGAAGACCTGCGCGGCCAGTTCCTGGACATCTACTTTAAGGAGTTTATCGACAAGTACGAGATGAAGGCTCTGACGGCTGCGGGCGGCCGGAAAAGGGAGAAGAAGCGCATCGGTGAGCTGGAGGCGAACATCAAGAATCTACAGCGGGCCAAGGCGAAGGTGGAGACGGTGATCCTCGAACTTATTGCCACCGTCAAGCAGACGAACAACGAGTTCAAGTTCTCCTACCTGCCCACCAAGCAGCAGCAGCTGGCCAAGATGGCCCAGCTGGAAGAGATCCTCAACGGGGGCTCGCCCGTAGCCACGGCCGAACCTGCTGGCCCGGCACCTCCGCAACCTGTGCTCCAGTATCCCGAGTTCAGTAGCAGCACCTCCATTTATTCAGCTTCAGGACTCGGACAGCAGAACACGCCTGTATGTTTTGCTCCTCCCCAGCAGTCGCAACATCCGCCTCAACTCTCACGAGATGTGATTGCCGCCATGGCGGCCAACTCCATCACTGCCGATCCCTCCAAGCGCATTGTGACCATACGCCGCGTGCAGCTGCCTCATCCGGGCGCCGAGCAGCAGGTGACTGTGGTGGCCAAGGGTAGTGCTCCGCACGAGGACAAGCTGCTCTACACCTTTGTCAACGGGCATATGGTGGCCTCGGGTCCGGCTCAGCCGGAAGAATCGACACCTCCGCCTGTTGCAGCTCCGGCTCCAGCGCCTAGTGTGCCGGAAAAGAGCGCCAAGGCCAGAAAGAAAGAGGCTAAGAAAGCCGCCGCGGCGGCGGTAGCAGCAGCAGCGGCGGAACAGGAGGCGAAGCTGAAAATGAAGAAACAGGCGAAGAAAACGGCCGTTACTTTGGCCACCGCCTCCAGTTCCACCGCGAGCAGCAACTCCTCCAAGTCGCAGACGCCGCAGAGCACGCGCGAGAGCTCGGTGTGCAGTGTGAAGCCAAAGACTGCACCCAAGAAGCCGGCTGCCAAGCCACCCAAGGTGGTGGAAGTAGTGCCAGCGCCAGAGCCTGATCCGGAGCCACCAAAGAGGCAGAAGCGGTTCAAGTCGAGGCTGGATCCAGGCCAGCTGGATAACAATCCCTTCAAGACGCTACATATGCAAGATTCGTCGGAGGGCGAGTGGGAAACGGGCAGTGAATCCGAGGATGGGGCGGAACTCCCAGCGCCAGTGCCACAGCCTATCAAACAGCAGCCTAAACTGCCAGCTCCACCAGAGCCCAAGCCAGTTGCTCCTCCAGTGGTCACAAAACCGAAGCCTGCTCCTGCTCCAGTAGCCGCGCCTGCCAAGAAGGTTAAGCAACAGGAGGCGCCGCCAAAGCAGCAGACGTCGCAGCCCGCCAAGGTTCAAGCCCAGGCCAGAGGCAAGGGGACAACTCCCTCCGGTGGCAAGTCCAATCCCCAACAGCAGCCGCAGCAGTATCAGCAGGAGAAGGTGCCGCCTGCCAAGAGCCAGTCTCAGCGTCCAGCGGAATCTGCGAGAAAACAGAAGCAGGCTCCTGGAAATCCCGAATCCAATCGTACTGCTTACATCCAGCCGCCTCAGCAGACTCACCAGCAGTCGCGGGGTGGCCGGGGAAACGGCCGGACGAAGTCCTCAACTGGTGGTCAACAGCAGCAGCAGGTCCAGCACTCCAACGCTCATCCAGTCGAGAATAACGCTCCTTCAAAGAGATCGCAGCGCGGCAAACGCGGACATCGCCAGAAGCAGGGTGAGTTGGATAGATAGCATTACAGTGTTTATTATTGTTTTCATTCAAATTGATACTTACTGATTTTCCATTTCTTTTGTCTTGCAGAGGATCTCTCCGGCATTCCACACAACATGGGCTATTTCAACCCCAACGAAGTTGCCATACCTCCCCCGCAGACTGGTAGCTATGCCAGCACTTTGGCCCAGCAGATGCAGAATTTGCGCATCGGCCAGTCTGGCGGCAGTTCCAGCTCGAAGCAGCCATCGCAGTCTCCCAACTGCAGCATCATGGACCAGTTGAACCGGGGGGTCCAAGTGGAGCACCTCTCGCTGCCGCCAGGTATCACCCTCACCAAGGTGGATCCGGCCAAGAGTGAGCAGTTGCGCCAGAAGAGCGAGTCCATCCGGCTGCTATCCAAACCCCTTCCCGAGCAGCCGCAGCAGCATCACTTCCAGCAGCAATCACATCTCCTGGCTGGCTACTACGGAGCAGCTGGAGCTGCTGGCATGGACCCTAACGGGGTAATAATGGTGGAGGCCAATCCGCGACCAAATCGAAATAGCCAGGCTCCAACGGCTCCTCCAAATGTGGCTGCAGCGGCGTCAGCGGCCAGTGCCAGCGGAAAATCGTCGCGGCGTCGTCGTCGCAATCGTGGGAAGTCCGGTGGGGGAAGCGGCGGGAATAATGGCAGTTCTGGAGCGGCCAACAAGGAGCGATCGGGTGGAGGAACGGGATCAGGAGCTGGGAAGAGCCTAAAACCCGCTTCCTTGCCAGCCAGTGCAGCCACCATAGAAACCAATGCCAGTGGCAACATTATCACCCTGCGGAATCCCATGTTCCACCAGGGTAATGGGCCAGTGGCCGGCGGTGGCATGATGCCACCGAACCCCAATCCAATGCCGCCAGGTAAGTAGAATAATAATTTAAACGGAAGATATAATATTAAACACATAACACCCACTTGTTGTAGTGCGAAACTTTGGTGCTGGTCTCCCAGTTGCTCCACCAATGGCCGGGGATCAGCCTGCTGCAATCATTAAAAACGAGAATGGCATGTTCACCATTCGCAACCCGGCGCTTCACCAAGCCGTGACCAATGGCCTGGCCATGGGCGGCTACCGGCAGTTTGGCAGCAATGTCAACTACTATACGCCCCAGGAAGCAGTGGCTGAGGCGGCACGGGCCACGCAGCAGAAGCAACAGCAGCAACAGGCTAATGCAATCACTGTTGGCCAAGTCGGCAGCAGCAACACCTCCAATTTTTCCTACTTCTCCAGTGGGTCGGCCAGCGGCAACAGCAGTGGAAGCAGCAACGGCGGCAACGGGACGCACAACAATATCAGTATTAGCTGTACCAACGTTCCCCCAAGCAGCACCGGAAGTGGAGGCAACAGTCCTGGCAGATTGGTCGGCGATGCTGCGGTGATTGCCCGTCCCAAGCAATCACAGAAGTGTCTTTCTGCCATTGGTAGCGAGCTTAAACAAAAAGCCAAGGACCACAAGTGGCCAAACTTTGGACAGCAGCAGCCGACGTCGGAGTACAATTCTGGGCCGGGGGCCGGAGGAGGCGTTCCTCTGCAAGAGAAGTACCAGCAGTCGAGCTACTACAACGGCTTCGAGGTGTTCTCAGCGGCAGCTGCTGCCGCTTCCCAGGCTCCTGGCAGCGGCGGCGGATCGAGCGAATGCCACATGCACCACAACTGTGGTGACGACTCTCCTCCGCCCACCATCACCGGTTTCAATTCCTACTTGGAGGGCATCCCCAACACCGGGGTCATTCGCTACGACGATGCCGCCTTCCTCAAGAACTTGATACCGGGACAGCATCTCAACAACGAGGTGTGTGATGGGTCTGGAAACTGGCCATTTGACCAGGAGATATATTCAGTCTACCCTAACTATCCGGTGTCCATTCAGAATCATCTTCCCAGTCCATTTGTTTCATTTTTCTCATCCTGATGAAACAAATTTTTATTTTCAACTATCCCGAAGAAAATAGTATTCGGTGGTTTGGACTTTTTTTGGAGAAAATATGAAAATACATGTATCAAATCGTTACATTTCATTCTTCTTAAAGAATCGAATTCTTTTTATTTTTAAATAAACTCGAATAAGGTGTAAATTTTTAATTATTGGCTTTAAAATTAATTACCTGACTTATATCCATTTATAAAACTTTTTGATCCACTTTTTGTTTTTTATATTTAATTTAATACAATAATACTCTATTATAATACTATAATCTAAAACTTTTTAAACAAAATTATCAAAAAGTATCATTATATTTGAAATTACACTTTTTGTATGAATTTGATGTTGATTACTTTTATAAAAGTATTATAGGGTAACCAGAGTATTAATGAACACAAATTTTTAATCATATTTAATCACAATCCAAATTAAATCATATAACATTTCATTATTACAAATCAAATTTTTTACCCACCAAGTGTTGCTTTAAAGAGGTTTAGATTGTAAGCAAGTTAAATATTTAAATGGCTTACCAACATCTTACAACTATACTTCATCTGGTCTAATCTTGGCTAACCCACTCCCTTATTTTATAGGGTAACCAGAGTCTACATTAAAACAAATATTTTGAATGATTAAAATATAATCAAAAACAAGATCATTTTATAATTACAAGTTATATTATTAATCCATGGCTCCGAAGATGTTTATTTTTGTAAGCTAACCGACTAAAATATTTCAATGGCACACCGAACAGTTTGCAACTAGACTTCATGTGGTATATTCTTGGCTAACCCACTTCATGTCCATTCGCAGGTCTCCATACACAATATTTCGGAGTCCAACTTCACGCGCAACAACGCGTCGCCGTCGCCGCACCACGTCGAGATCACCAGCGTATTCGGCAACCGTGTGCGATCCTCGAACACCTATGATCCACAGCAGCAGACCCAGCCTGGCGTCGGCCCAGGTGCCAACTACTGCGACAACGTGGCCGCCGACTACGGCACTGGTGAGTTGTGATGAAGAGAGGCCCAATATGAGTATCCAAATATCCAAGTCCCTATTCCAGATTCCCACCTCTTTGTGCAGAACAATCTGCTGACGCGAATGCCGCAACCGCCGGCACCTCCGGATCCCTTTGGCTACGACTTCGATCAATCGGTGGTGCCGGTCGGAGGATCGAAGGCGGCCAGCGTGGCCAGCGACCTGAACGAATTCCTGCGCCGCAGCCCGCTCAGCCAGCGAACCTCGCCGTACAGTCCGGACGAGAGTGCCGCCGCCCTGGAGACGTTCGTCCAGAACATGAGTGCGCTGCAAATCGCGAGCGACGCCGAGCAGTGCTCGCGGCTCAATGGGACAGGAACTGGCGGAGGACCCAACGATGCTCCAACGGCGGATGCCACCGCCGGAGGAGCCGCCAATGCGGCCGCTGCCTGGTGGTGAACCACATGACAAGAGGTGCTGCATGGCCAGCAGATTGATTATAATTCCTCACTTTCATCCCGCTCTCACATACGCAGACATTTCATCGATAGGGCTGAAAACGATAAATGAAAACCAGAAAAAAATGAAACATAAAAATACAAAAAACAGAAAGCGCATCCAAGAAATCATTTAAAATGGCTTAGGAGTCAATTTCAATGTTTCAACAAAAAAGAGAAAAATAAAGAAAAAATTAACTTAAATGGAACTTTAATTGCGAAATGATTTAATTGGGAATTATTTTGCATATAAATTATGAACGAATGCTGTGATGGATTTTACTTCATTACATGTTCATTTTCATTAGAATTGTTAGGTTTTTGAAGCTTGAACTATATTTAATGAAATTGTAGGATTTGGCTGAAAACGATTTGGCAAAAATTGCAAGACTTCTAAAAACTACAAAGAAATACAAATTTCTGATTGCTATAGCTAGATTTCTTTATCGTTTTAACTCAACTCATATAAGAACAGCTTATATATTTAGTAGGAACTTTAAATTAAGAAGCGAACATAATTAAAAACCGAAAGATCATGTTAAACGGTTGTGACTTGATTATGACTTTTGGATCATAAAACGAACACAAATGAATTGAAACTTCTTGAGATAATTGAATTTATTTAAAATTTTCAATTTGATGCTAGTAATTATAAAAAAGGTTAAGCTTAAATTCCTCAAATTAGATGCTGTTGAGTGGCTAAAATACTTCATTTCTTTCAAATCTCAAAGACAAGGGATCCGGAGGCGTAACTGACGCTGGAGTCGTCCATGTCCTGGCACTGGCTGCTCTGAGCGTACTTCAGGAACTTGAAACTCATCTTGTCGTAGCCCTGATCCTGCAACGCCTTAACAGCGCCCAGCATCACTCCAATGGGATGACGACCGCATATCGTGTTGTTGTACTTCCGCAAGTACTCGGTAAACGACTGCGGACTGAGCGTCTCGATGATGTCCATTCCTTGCTTGTCCAGCTTCTCGATGGACTTGTGGATAGCCCCGCATGAGCGGTCATAGTACGTGTAGCTGAAGCGTTGGCCCCAGTGGCAGAAGTCAGAGGATATCACAAACAGGTTGGTGGGGTCCATTAGGTAAGAAGACAGCAGGCTGCCGTACTGCGCCTCCTGCTCAGGATTCAGCGAACCCACCAGGATAGGCACAATGGTGAACTGATCCTTGTAGCTGCAAGAAGAGTTTCATATTAGTATAAATAAATACTATTTTTGAAAATGCTCTTTAATAGAAGGCAAAACCAAAATGGAATAAATCCAAATAAATGGCCCAATTAATACAAATCATCTCGCTTAAATATTGATTAACTTACTCCTCCATAACTTTAGCTATGTAAGGCAAATGCATCTCAATAGAGTGCTCATCCTCGTCAGTTTTCATGTCCATCCAAGAAAACTGTCCAGTCTTCTCCAGTTCAGCGTTGACTGAAATCAATCAGATATTAAATAAGAAACCAAGCAGGTTTTGGCTTCTTCAACAATCATACTCTGGGTATCGATTTTGAGATCGTAGAGCGGAGTCCTGTATTTCTTCGCCACGGATAAGGCACAACCACGCAGGCGCACATGATGCGAAGGACCCAGTATAAAGATGCGCTTTCTGCAAGTAAATGTTGTATTAATGTTCTGATTGTTTGCTTTGATTTAAAGTCCTTACACGACAACCGGGCTAACTTGGCGATAGGCAAACGCCCCGCAGGCACCACAGTACGTATATCCGGCATGCCTGGCGAAATAAAAAAGTTACAAATAGGTGTTCTTCACGAATCTGGTCGTAACTTACGGAGCAATAATGGCGCGAGCCGGTCCATGCGACAGATCTGCAGCACCCAACCAGCCATCCAGCTGCCTAGAGAGCTCTGACCCTGAAAACATGACAAAATTATTAATAAAGAAATTAAAAATGTAATTTTAAATTTTAAACTAAATAAAGTTTTATAATTTCTGATATACATTTTATTCTCTTCTAGTTTTGAAGGTCTTGTTTTTGTGACAAACTTCAAGGAAAAAAATAATTATAGAATAATTCTAAAAAATGTTAGCTTTTGAAACGCGATTTATATTCTAGCAAACTGAGTTGGCCTAGCGTTGCCTAGCAGCAAAAAAACAAATAATATCACCAGTTGTATTAGACTCGCTATTCGACAAGTCAGAACAGCTATATATTAAATATTGATTAAAATTTTAGTTAAAACGTTCCGATATGGAAAATGATAAAGAAAAACACAGCGATGAGCTCATGAATCGCATTCGGAATGAACTGACAGCCATATTGGCTCAAGAGTAAGTTCCAAAAGTCATCAAAAGACAAAATCAAATAGAATTCAATAATGTACACTGAAAGACATACATAAAAACGAGCATTGCGCTTTTAAACAAGGATTAAAATGTTTTCTAACACATTAATGCAATTCGGTAAAAATCTCGATTATGAATATCCTTCAAAACAATGCTGGTATATTTTCAAGATGCATCAAAAAATTCATTATTAACACATTTTTCTATATCCAACAGGGCTGCAGACGAATCCGAAAGAAAGATAACAAATGAACTGCTTTTAAGTCCCAATCCGCTGCCAATTTTTGGGCCCATAAGAAAGAGTAGGGCCATGAAATCGAGCAACTCTAAAAAGAAGGTGGGTAAGCCCAGCTCGGCAGGTAGTAGAATGAGTTCTTCGGCGGGAAGCGGATCATCTGAAGATCGTTTAGCAGCAAAAGATGCCCAGAAAAAGGACACCGATCCGACTTCCACTTCCTCCAGTTTTTCTTTCAAATCAGAATCTTCCGATCAGTATGAGGGCCCGCCCAAGAATCGCAGTTCCCGTGCCGAGTTCATGGAATCCCATGCTGCCAAGAGCATCGACGACGACGTGCAGAAGATGCAGATGGAGCTAAAGCAAAGCTACGAGCTCTTCCAGAGCATTGGCGAGAAATTCGAGTCGGTAAACTTCTCGGGCTTAAAGAGCCGCATCCGGGACCTGCACCTGAACGACTCCAACAATGAAATGGGCAAGGCGACAACCCAGGAGCTGCAGAAAATGTTCGACCAGCGTTATCTGCAGAATCGCCTGGACAAGCTATCCACGGACGCGACGCAGGGATTCCGCCGGCATCCTGGTGAGTTCGGGGATATTCCGGAGCTGAGCACCTTCTTTCAGGCGTGCACGCAGCTGGAGCACGGCTTGGATGCACTGCGTCAACAGCGACGGCGCAACAGCGAGCTGGAGAAGCGCCTCTGCTGGGCCACCGAGATCGCCTACGATCGCATGGACGAGATCCGCAATTCGGTGGGCTCCGATCCGGAAAAGAACTTTTGAAGTGACCATTACTTAGTCATAGAATATAGTAGTTATTTTATGGTTCATCCCAAAGTTCATTACCCGCACACACAGGTGCAATATACATACATATATACACGCATTGTCCACACACATATGATGCATATGCAATTCACTGGTGTTATCTTTTTACGGCTTATCACTCACCTGAATCCGTGTACCAGCTGCCTGCGTGGGTTGCTCTTCTGGCCGACATGTTAACTCGAGGTCCCTAATCGCTCTGTTTAGTTAGTTAGTGCTATTAACTGACAGTTACTTGTAGAAAAAAAACCGTCTTTGTTATTGGTACCAGCAGTGTGACCGTGAACTTTTTTAAAAACTCCCACGTCCGCAATCCTGAGTGAGAATAATTTGGTAGTTCTGCCGTTCAGTTTCTCTTCCGGCTTAAAAACATATATTTTTGCTTTTAATTTATTATTGCCACAATTGTAGAGCATATTGCAGAAGTCTGTTACACATTAAGCCCGAATAATAAATAATTAATACTAATACCTCTTTACAAATAAAAAGTTTGATTATTTTATTTCACTGGAAATTACTAACAATTTCAAAAAGTAAAATTGAAAATCAAAACAAGTATTTAACGAAAACAAAATTTAATTTATTTAGAAAAACTATTTCGATATGCAATACATACATTTTTAGTGGACATACGAAAGATTGGAGTCAAAATCAAATTAAGGATAAATCTTGTACTTTTCTTTTTAAGATTTCACGCATAAACAAAATCTAGCGATTACACAGAAAATACAAGAAAACTCGAGAATTGATTATGTTCAGTTGACCACCATTTTTTTGTACACCCAAGGTATTTTTGTAATATACCTTGCGCGCACCGTGGTATTTTCGAACCATCACGCTGCGGGCACTCTGTTCGCATAGCGTCATTGCTGTACTAAAACCTAAAAATCCGCCGTGTTCGTATTCCGCCATTTTGAAAGCTGCGAGTGGAATTTGGACGCGTTGCTGGTAAATTATTTGTGTAAAAACTGTCCGAAAAGTGCACAAAATTAGTGAAAAGTGGTTGGCGACGGTGTGTGATATCCACCGCCTAGTGTTTGCCCCCGAAAATTGTGTGTGGCCCCGGTTTTGGCACGTGAAATTTGTCCAATTGTGAACTCGCAAAAAAGAGAAAAAACCGACGCCGCCGTCGCCGCCGCCACAAAGGAATAGGCGAATAAGCGAGAGAAAAAAGCAAAAACGAGAGAAAAGAAAATCAAATTGTGCGCCGCTGATTGCGTTTCAGCAATTTAATAATATAAATATACTAAAATCCACGGCAGCAGCGAATTTTCACGGATTACAATTACACTATTCCCATTTGCAACGAGTGTGCGCTTGTGTGTGTGAGTGTGCGATAAACGTGTACAAGAAAAATTTAAACGTGCAGAATTCTGATGAATTTTAAAGCGGAACTACTTTTAAATGTATAGGTGTATTGTGTGTGCATGTGTGAGTGATTGTGTGGGTGCACGCACACTTGGCCAAGTATTGTTGCGGTTTAATGCAAAGTTGAGTGAGTGTGCGAGCGAGTGAGCAACGCCTGGCATATTCTATGCAAAACATAAATAAAATTGTGCAATATTTTCCCCGCACACAGCCACAGATACACATTCTCTCTCTTAAATATGCGTTTGTGTTTTTTTGCGCCCGCCTAGTGACAATACACACGCAAGGTTCACTGCGCAACGCCCCCCTTCTTGCGAACCCCTTTTCCACACCACCCCTCGTTGGCCCACGCCACTGCAACATGCTGTCTCATCGTTGTTGTTTTGCCGCGGCCACATTTAGTTCGAAAGAGATGGGAGTAGGAGGGAATGGACGAAAGAGAAGGAGAGGCGAAAAGCAACGAGTTTGAAAATCAACTAAAGCCTCATGTTGACACATTTCGACCGGGAGTTCGTTCTTTCGGGCGGATTAAAAGCCTTTAAAGGGTGAAAGTACTGCTTATCGTTTAGCGTTTTTTCCCGCGAAGCGAAGATTTAAAGTATAAAAAGTTTTTTTTTGGTTGCATATTGATTAGAAATTACAAGCACACAATCATACACATACAGTCAACATCCGTTAGAATTGCATTGTGTTTGTGTGTGTTTATGCCGATTTAAATACACAAAAGGCCAAGTGAAAAACTTTGATGAAGTTGCGAATGTCCATTCAAATTGACGCTTGTTTCTAGTTTTAATACAATTTTTGCGCTTGTCGTGTTTTTGTCGTTGCTTCTTCTTTTCTATCTCTTTCTCTCTTTTTGTTCGCCCTTTCACTGTTCGACGTGCCTGTACCCATCACACATACACACACTTGCACACCCAGCAACACAAACACACACATTTGCACATGAGAGGCAGACAGACAAGCAACTCTGGGCTCCCGCTCCCCCCTCCACCCTTTCCCCACCCACTCGCATTTGCAACGGGAATGTTGTTGGTGTTGCTCTGCAGTGCTCAAAACTTCGGAGAGGATTACAAATGGTGTTTTTGTTTTTGCCCAAACGGAAATACAGACAAACTTCTGCAACATAAGAGTTCAAATTATAATGACTTTTATTTATTTTGTTTTTCTCAAAAACTTTTTTGCGCACTTTTGGGTTATCAAAATAATTTAAGACTTAAGCAGGAGCCATTTAAATTACATATTTAAAGAATTTAATTCAGAGTGTCCACCAAAGCAGTTCAGTTTTAAGTGAATAAACATTTTTTTTGTTTTAAATTTTGAACTATTATTGTATTTGTGGATTAACAATTTTTAATTTTCTCAATGGAATTTTGTTTCTAAAAATAAATTTAAAAAAGTAAAAATTGCATTGAATAGTAACATTAAAGTAATATTTTTGCTTATTAAAAAGAGGATATTTGTTTGTTATTTAAAAGAAATATTTTTAATGAAATATTTAAAGAAATACTACACTATGTGTTTTATAAAAATACATTAAACTTAACTTTTTCCTATGTCACAAGATTCTTCAAGAATTAAAAGATTTGAGCTTACAAAATTTGAAATATGTTTACTTGTTAAATATGTAAATGAAATAAGTTGTACTTTCCGGTAGCTTTGGTTGTCACTGGAAATTCAATTTCAGGATGTTGTTCGGTAGTAGAAGCCATACAATAATACGTTATTTCCCCCAAACCCATTTCCTTTTTCTGCAATATCATGCAAACAAAGCAAGTAAAATAGATAGAAATATGGAAATATATTGCAGAGACCCCTTTTCTCGTATCCACTTGAATATTTGCATTGCCATGGAATTGTATGTAGTCCATCGATAACTGTACACATTGCTGATTTTGTTAGTCGTTTTTTTTTTGGCGCAACAACATTTTCCATCACTGCCCTTTTTTGGGCAATAATAAATTTGATTGCGTTTCGGCTATACACTCCCACTCTAACGGTTATTTATTGTCAATGCCAGGCACACCACCCCCTCCCCCTTCCCCTATTCCCCTCCCCTTATCACTTTGATGCTTTCTATTTTTGCGATGTTTGTTGTTTTGTGTTTGTTGCCGACTGCGCGCGTGAAAAAATGCACACCTGCCCAAAGAATTTCACACTTTGGGGCGCGGGCGGGGAAAAAATTGAAAGCAGCCACAGAAATAGCAGCAAAACGTTTAAATTTAGATATAAGTCTGAGAAACTAAAATTCAAGCAAAAACACAATGGCAGCCGTGTGTGTTTTTTTCTTTTACTATTTTTCTCTATCTCTATCGATCTGAAAAATAAAAATACAACGAGAAAGGAATCTAAATTCTGTAAGCAGAAATTTGTACACTCTAGCAGATATAGTAAATATTTCTGAAAATATCCTAGATATTGTTTGGAATTAAAAAAAGAAGTTACATTTTTGAAATGATAAAAATTTATCAACTTTAGTATTCTTCTTATTTTGGATTTAATCAAATAGTTTCAAAAGCTGTTTTAAGACAGGTTTTGAAATAGATTTAGTTTTAATTCGAACAAGTTAATAAGAAAATCTTGGTTAGACAATTAGTAGTTTTAAGTAATTTTTATACCCTTGCAGAGGGTATTATAATTTCAGTCAAAAGTTTGCAACGCAGTGAAGGAGACATTTCCGACCCTATAAAGTATATATATTCTTGATCAGCATCACCAGGAGAGTCGATCTAGCCATGTCCGTCTGTCCGTCTGTCCGTCCGTCTGTCCGTCCGTCTGTCCGTCTGTCCGTCTGTCCGTCTGTCCGTCCGTTTCTACGCAAACTAGTCCCTCAGTTTTAAAGCTATCTGCTCGAAACTTTCCCAAAAGTTGTCTTTCTATTGCAGGTAGTATATAAGTCGGAACGAGCCGGATCGGGCGACTATATCATATAGCTCCCATATAACTGAACGATCGGAAAAGCCATAACTTTGGTGTTTTTAAAGATAAGAAGTTGGGATTTTCTATGGGTTTTATTTTTGGCCAATCAATCCGACATACCAAATTTCATAAGGATCGGCCGACTATATCTTATAGCTGCCATATAACTGATTGATCGGAAGTGCCATAACTTTGGTGTTTGTAAAGTTAAGAAGTTGGGATTTTCTATGGGTTTTATTTTTGGCCAATCAATCCGACATACCAAATTTCATAAGGATCGGCCGACTATATCTTATAGCTGCCATATAACTGAACGATTGGAAATGCCATAACTTTGGTGTTTTTAAAGTTAGGAAGTTGGGATTTTTTATGAGTATTAAGAATGCATCATATGAATAATTTTGGAGAATATAATAACAGAGTATTCTGCAAGGGTATATCAACTTCGGCTCCGCCCGAAGTTAGCTTTCCTTTCTTGTTGATAGTTCGTTTGTATGACAGCTAGAGAATGCGTTCCATCTTGAAGACATTTAATTGTGCGCTAGCTATAAAAGATGGCAAGAAACATTTCATAAAATTATAATACTCTTCTGCAAGCGTATGCCAAATAAAACGACGACAGCCGTACACACATTTTCAGATGGCTCAGCCAAAATCCGTCTAAAACAACAGATATAGCAATAATAATAGCAAAGGCATCCACAACGCAACATCAGCAATTCGTAAGCGTGCGAGGGCAATATATATAAGTTGTGTTTCATTTGATTTTTTCCCACTTCTGGTCACTTGCTGTGCTGGCTTGC